ATGTATGTATGTATGTATGTATGTATGTATGTATGTATGTATGTATGCGTGTGGGTGTGAGAAATATTGATTTTTTTTACAAAAACACCACAATAATTTATGGGTTTATTTTAAAGCACTTTACTGAACAATTAAATGTTTTGTTGAACTGAAGCACTTTTAATGTACTTTAGCAGAAAGTTGAATAAATTTGGGATATTATTTAACTGAATTGTAAAAAAAGTCACCAATATATTTTAATAATCAGACACTTTTGAGAGGAGAAAAACGTGGATACATAATAAAATATTCATAAAAAGAAAATAAACTAAAATGATTTTTTTTTAAAAAAAACAGATTTCTCAGAGCCCCACTACAGACAGCAGAACATGACAGTAGAGACAACTTTCATCTGACAGCAAATTAATTTATCGAACACTTAAAGAGACTCCAGTAGGATTAAGACGGTCATGCTGGAAGAAAATGAAGGAACTTTGCTGAGTATTGTCAGCTGGAGAAATAATTAAAATAAGAAAAGAACGTTAACTCCCCCTTTTTGTTAATAGCAGAAACATGAGCTGAATTACTTTCAGACTTCTTAAAGAAATCAATATTTAAAAAGGACAGAGACAGTCAGCAAAAGCCTTTTTGGGGCAATAACAGATCATCTGTGCAGCCGTAAATCACATGTGTATATATGACAGGAAGGGGCAAAAGAACAACAACAAAAAAGACAAACTTACTTTCTCTGAGGCTGCTGAGCTTTGAGACTGAAATACAATTGAGAGTAATTGGCATTTGAAATTAAAGCGTCATCACAAAATCAAATGTCTCACAATGAACAGCTTCTCCATGAGCCGAGCATATTCTGACAGCTGATTCCCAACTTTAACCCATGTGTCCTTAACTAAACAACTCGTTATACGATAACCAACACTGTCTGAAACTTTAGATGTTGCGTTAAGGTGTTTCACATGGGTAGCTGATGAATACACAAGCAGAAATAAACTGGTCAGTTTTAATACGGAAGATGGAATAAATCAAAACTAACTGAGAAAGCAGCATCATAAATGTGTCGAACCATTTAATAAAAATAACATTGAAAATAAAGAATGACAAATGTTGAAGTTGTGCCGCACTGAATGAGCTTGAGGATATTTTAGCCACCTCCCCTCAGGTTTACCTTACTTACCTTTGGTTTGATAGGTTTTAGCGTGGAGATGTCAGTTCCCTCAGCTCTCTGTCTGCTTGAGTCAAACACCTTTCTTCTTTTAACTGTCGACTTCTGGCAAATTTTAGAATGCTTCTCCTGTTTGAAAAGACAAATAAAATTCAACACTGGAACCTTTACTGCCACGAGGGGTTCATGAACTGCTGCGTGCTTGTAAAGCAAAGCTACAGTTCATACAGGGTCCCTATCCAAGTGGAGGGGGGCTTGAGATTTTTTTTTAAAGGTCTACAAGTAGCATATTTACAAAAGGAAATAAGATCAGTGATCAGAAATTCATAAAACATGTATAATGTTGCTAAAATAAAGCAAACCAAGTTTAAGCAGAACAAACGGTGGATTTTCAGGGTTCACTGTTGCAGAAAAATTACACTTTGGAAAAAAACGTTTTGCCCGTTTTTGAAGACATTATTATTGATTTAATTGAACGTTTGTGTTATTTGATCTCGTGAAACTGTTCTGAATCAGAGTGAAATTGAAAAATCTAAATATGCTTAAGGACCTCGTTGTGTTGCATTTTCTTTTCAAAGAACCAGAGTTTGGAGTGACGCGTCTCTAAATTAGGGCTAGTTTTAAACTTTTGGACTTTATTTTTATCCATATTTTATTTAATTACCTGAAAAGCACTCTACTGTTTGAGTCATGTATAGTTATATATTTTAAAAAGGAATAAAGTTTAAAAACATTTTCTGTATGTTTGAAACCTGCATAGGAACCGTTTGGATATGATGTTTCATAAACATAAGATTTATTTTTTATTCTTATCAAGGTTTCTAATTTGACACACAATCTCGTACTGCAAAGTCATCAAATAACACAAAAAGGGCTGCGAATTATTTGAACTTTGTCGCACTTTAAGATAATTTATAGTCTCTAGTCTAAAATGATCAGCTGAACAAAACCTCCATGATCTCTTTTCACAAAGCTGCTGTTGTTGGCTGCTTGAATCCAAACAGCTGATAACCAGTCAGCTGATAAAACCTGTGGAAATGTGGTCAATATTTAACCTTCTTAAGCAATTAAGGTTAGTCGCAATGCTCAATACCTATTAATATCCTTCAAGATGTCAATTCAACACTAAACAATGCTTGAAATTATAGAAGGGGTCATTTGTTTGTTACCAGGACTTTGGGGAAGAACCATCTTTTGCAGGTGTTGCATTGAGACAGATCCTCAGCAGAAGGAGCATCACTTTCTGCAAAATAAATACAGATTTTACCAAATATTAGGCTCAAAATGTGAAGGAAGGCTGGAATGAACCTAATCCAACATGTATCCCATTGATAAACTGGTGAAAAAACCACTAGTTTTTAATTTAAAGGCAGTTACTGTGTATTTTTACATGCTGCCTTAGAGATTATTTACATTGTTACAGTCACAGTGGCTAAATATTAAAAAAAAATGCATTTATAACGGTTCGAAATGAGGTGAAGTTTAAGTTTCAAAAATCTGATTTTTGACAATGCAAGGTTTAGTTCTTTGGTTACCCTTAATGCTAGCACGGGATAACAGTCAGCTAGCTTCATCTTTGGCCCTGGCGTTACCTAGGCTAGCATTACTTGGGCTAAATCCCAAACAAAAGAGGTCGCTATTTAAAAAAAACACAAGGACACGAACGCAGACATGTAGCACTTCATGGTAGTTTTGACGGGTTAAAAAAAACAAGAAACTTGGAGCTTCAACTGGTCCCAAAATATCCACAAATAAACAAACCGGGCATCGATTACCTTCAAATTCTTCCATCTTTAGGTTGTTCCCTCGTCTGATGCTGCCGCTGCTCCAAAGAGAACAAAAACGTAGCCAGGAGGAACAAGAAGATTCCCCGTAACATACTTCCGGTAAGAAGATTCCCCGTAACATACTTCCGGTTTGGTTCAACGCTATCGCTGAAACATTTCATTGTTTTATTTTTTACTTAAAATATTGCGTAAGAGATAAATTGAGCTGGCATTTAAGAGCGTTAAACGTCAAGTCGTAATAAAACGCGTATGAGTTGCGTTTTGCTCTTTTTGTTTTGCTTATTTTATTCGTATTTAGCCTCCATTTAATACAGGAAGAGCCTTGAAATTTGAAACCTCATGCGCTCAAGTGCCCACAGCCAAAATGGCAGCAGTTCAAAACAACAATAAAAACAACACACTAGAAAAACAAAAAACATTAATATATATATATAAAAAAACTGTCATTATGCTCAGTAAACTGTGACTTCTTTTGATAGATTCACTCCCACTTTCTCTCACACACACATTAAATAACAGAAAAAGTCAAATGTATTAATTGATTTGATACACTGACTGATACTTTGATTCAGAGTTAGAACTACCACTTATTCTAACAATAAAACTCGTGAGCCATGCTCTCTGGCTGGCCTTTTTGTGGTCAGAGCAAACACTCGGAAGTTCACAGTTTGCCAGATTGAGAACATCTGTCATCCGAATGAAGGGATTCACAAACAGCTGTTCTGAGTAAACACATCATTGAAATGCTGAATGTGTGCTTTCACTACAATAAGATCACTGTTCTCCCTCTGACTGTCCTTGCTGTTACCACACATGCACAATGTGCACACAAATACACACAATAAAGGACATGAGAGCAACTGTTGTCCAGGCATTATGGTGGTAATACTAAATTTATCTTTGAACACTGACTGTTTTTCTGCCCATTTACATAAACAATCCCAAAACTGATTATTTAAAGCTATTTTATACTGAATAGGGGTCATTAAAGAATAAAAAGGCAAATGCATAATTAAAGATACTCATTGCAAAGTATGAAATAAAACATAAAAGGTTATCCTGAAGACATCTTTAACACCTCACTTACCCTGGAGACAGTTCCCACCTGCCTGAAGACTGCCACCATCATCCCAGTCCCAAAAAGCTCTACAGTGACTGGTCTGAATGACTATCGGCCAGTGGCCCTCACCCCGATAGTCGCTAAATGCTTCGAAAAACTGGTCATGACTCACATCAAAACAACCATCAACATCAACGAGGACCCTCATCAGTACGCATACCGTGAGAACCGATCAACAGAGGATGCAATCTCCTCTGTGGTCCACACTGCGCTCAACCACCTGGAGCAGAAAAACTCTTACGTCCGTATGCTCTTTGTGGACTTCACATCCGCCTTCAACACCATGATCCCCCAAACCCTGATGGACAAACTATCCACACTAGGACTAAGCCCCTCCATCTGCAACTGGGTACTAGACTTTTTAACAAACAGACCACAGTTAGTGAGGATCCACAACCTCTCCTCCTCGACCATAACCCTCAGCACTGGCTCTCCTCAGGGATGTGTGTTGAGCCCCCTCCTGTTTACTCTGCTCACATATGATTGTGCAGCTACCCATCCAGGCTGTCACATTGTAAAGTTTGCAGATGATACAGCGGTGGTGGGATGCATCACAAACAATGATGAGTCCAGCTACAGGCAGGAGGTGGAACACCTGGAGAGCTGGTGCAGAGAGAATAACCTTCACATCAATGTGAAGAAGACAAAGGAGATGATTGTGGACTTCAGAAGGAACAAAAACACCTACACCCCCCTGAACATAAGAGGATCTGCGGTGGAAGTGGTCTCCAGCTACAAGTACTTGGGTGTACACATGAATGACAACCTCAGCTGGAGCAACAACACCACCAGCCTGATCAAGAAAGCTCATCAGAGACTCTACTTCCTCAGACGGCTGAGGCGAGCTGGTCTGGGAAGCTCAGTCCTCACCTCCTTCTACAGGTGTGCAGTGGAGAGCATCCTGTGCTCGAGCATCAATGTGTGGCATGGAGGCTGCACAGCTGCAGAAAGAAAAGCTTTGCAGAGAGTGGTGAAGGCTGCACAGAAGACTGTTGGAATCAGTCTCCCCACCATCACAGACATCTACACCTCCAGATGCAGGAAGAGGGCCACCTGCATCATGAAGGACCCCACCCACCCAGCACACACACTTTTTGCCCCACTCCCCTCAGGAAGGAGGTTAAGGAGCATTAAGTGTAGAACCACTAGACTGAGGAACAGCTTCTACCCTGAGGCTGTTAGACTCATGAATCTCTAACTAGAATAATCACTGTGAAAAACCATATCATGTTGCTGCTGATCTGTTTCATGTTGCTGCTGATCTGTTTCAATGTTGATGTGTTCATGCGTGCACATCTGCTCACAGACTCATGTTCATGTTTGTGCTGATGTTCAATGTTTTATGTTATGAGTGCTTAGTGTATGTTTAGTTGATGTTTTTCTTAGTTCATATCTTAGATGTTATTACTGTTTTTCTTATACATTTTATTGTTGGATGTAACTGGGACCCTGTGTACATAATTTCGCTCCACCACATGTACCACATGAGGTGCGAATGACAATAAAGAAACTCTGACTCTGACTCTGACTCTGAACTATATCAAAGGGTGCAGTTTGAAATACTTTATCCAATTTTTGCAGGCACAGTATTATTCACGTCTGCTTCAGGTGTGCACTCATTGTAAACAAAGCACTTTTGTCAACTTTTTTCCAACAAATCTGAGCATAAATGCATACAGATAGATCAAAAATGCTGATTTTCTTGATTTGTAATGGTTTTTCTATGGAATTTTCCATTGCTGACCTATTTTCAGCTGTGGATGTTTTCTTGGGTAAACAAATGCATGGAGTAGTTTGCAGCCATGTGCAAATTTAGTTTGTTTTTCATTATAATGGTATGTATGAGAGGGGAAACGCATGGATTGTGTTTCTTACTAAACTAGTTTGTTTATTTATTTAGTAGCTTTAATATTTTGCAAATATCAGATTTTAAATTGTGCCTTCTATATTTAATATTATCTATCATTAATATAAATATTACTATTATCATGTTTCCATTTCAGCTGTGTATACTAAAATCCATCATAAAAAATAATAATAAAAAAAAGTATTACACAAATAACTGTCATTTTATCCCATTTTAATTGTCACGTGGATTGTGAGTTTTATTTTGAAAAACCATAGCGGAAGTAGAATTACGCGCACCGCTGCTTGATCTGATTAACCTGTAGGGGAAGCACCCGAATGGCAGCTGATGTGACTGCGTGAACGTTTGGGAGCCATTTAACCAAAACAGGTACTTTTCTGATGATGGCAAGGTGGTGCGCGTGGTGCGCAGAGCGTGCGTGCGTTGTTTGTTCATACCGAGCGTCGCGCGGACTGTTTGCGGACTCTGACCTACCTCCAGGGCTCTTTGTTGTCAACAACCAACATATGTGGCCTTTGAATGTGTGATTGTTGTGTTTTTGTTCATTGCAACATTTACTGCGTGTTTATTACAACGATTACGGTTTTAGAAAACTTGGTTAGGGTTGGGCAGCAATTTATTTCTAAATCTTAAAAAATATTAATTATGAAGATAATTTTGTTGGAGGACAAGAGCCATATATATATATATATATATAATCACAATGTAGCACCACTGAATTCAAGTAAAAAAATATTGAAATGCAAGTGGAGCCAATATTATAAAAATTATATTTAATTTTCTGTTTGGCATTATACACTGCCTGGCCAAAAGAAAAAAGTCGCCACCAAAAAAAAAAAAAAAGATCACACATAAATATTTTGTTGGACCACATTTAGCTTTGATTACATCATGCATTCTCTGTCATTGTTTCGATAAGCTTCTGCAACGTCACAAGATCTATTTCATCCAGTGTTGCGTTAATTTGCCACCAAGATCTTGCATTGATGACTAGACACTAGGCATGATGGGTGCATCACTTCACCTGCCTCTCTTCTTACCTTAATGCACTTCCATCACTCTGGAACAGAGTAAATCTGGACTCATCAGACCACGTGACTTTCTTCCATTGCTCCAGAGTCCGATCTTTATGCTCCCCAGCAAACTGAAGCCTTCGTTTTCCCAGTTATCCTCACTGATTAGTGGTTTTCTTACGGCTACACAGCTGTTCAGTCCCAATCCCTCGAGTTTCCTTTACATTGTGCGTGTGGAAATGCTCTTTCACTATTAAACACAGCCCTGAGCGCTGCTGTTGTTTTTCTTCCATTTGATTTCACCAAACGTTTAAGTGATCGCTGATCACGATCATTCAGGATTTGTTTCCGGCCACATTTCTTCCTCGAAGACGATGGGTCCCCACTATCCTTCCAGTTTTTAATAATGCGTTGGACAGTTCTTAACCCAATTTTAGTAGTTTCTACAATCTCCTTAGATGTTTTCTCTGCTTGATGCCGATGATTTGACCCTTCTCAAACAGACTGACATCTTTTCCACGACCACGCGATGTGTCTTTCAACATGGTTGTTGAAGAAATGAGAAGCAACTCATTGCACCAGTTAAATAACTCGTTGCAGCTGAAAGATAATCGCCCATGCAGTGATTATCCAATAGGAGGCTCGTACCTGTTTGCTTAGTTAAATCCAGGCAGCGGCTTATTTTTTTTTTGGCCAGGCAGTGTAGAAGACTGCATGTAAGGATTCAAGGTTCTTTATTTGTTGTGCGCACCACATGTGGTGGAACGTCAATGTGTACACTGGGTCCCAGTGACATCCAACAATAAAATGTAAAAGAAAAACAGATAGGAACTAAGAAAAATGTTTAACTAAAAATGCGCTAACCTCCTTCCTGAGGGGAGCAGGGCAAAACGTGTGTGCTGGGTGAGTGGGATCCTTCGTGATGCAGGTGGCCCTCTTCCTGCATCTGGAGGTGTAGATGTTTGTGATGGTGGGGAGACTGACTCCAACAGACTTCTGTGCAGCCTCCATGTAAGGTGTGGTGCCTTGAAGAAGTTTCTTGGGCTCCATTATCGCAGCTCCTTAATTCTCTTTGGCTGCATAACAGTTTAAATTTTGACAGAAAATCCTGGTAGCGCAGTTCTTTACAGCTTTGGGTTGATATCCAGGCCAGATGAGCCTGAAATTACCCACATTTCCAATTATCATTCCCTAGAATATAAAATCCATAAGCAACAAAACTGAATTAAATCATAGTTAGACCATGATGCGTCCTTAAATTGAACTTTCGTGAGCAGAATTTGGAAATGAATTCCAACGACAGCGTGCATATGATTACCTACGGAAGCAGCCGAAGTGGCTAAAAATAGGTCAAAGTTGCCAGCCATGTTTGTTTATCTACAGACTAATGTAGGTCAATCACATGACTCAAGCTTCCACATGGGTTTTGGTTGATTCAGTCAAGTGTTTTGTTTACATTGAGTGTGGACCCGTTTCAGAATTACATCTAAATCTGGATAACTACCGGAGTAAACTGTCAAATTGCACCATTTGATTTTTCTCAGAATAAGTTTGCTCGATTTCTTAATTTCCAAAAAGTGCCTTTAGTACACATTAAACTAAAGTGACTCGACTCTTATGCTTAGTTTAGATTTTGTTTTGTATCAAAATAAAATGTGTTTGAGCGGCCCGTCTCTTCTTTCCCCTCTGTTCAATCTGTCATGTGCACGTCAGCATCTGTTAGTTCTTGCCAATCCTGACACCATTTCAAGAATGACAGCTGAGTGGGAGTGAGCTCGAGTGATGACAGACCCAAAATGGCCTTGGTCAATCAGAGAAAGAAAGTTGAACTACCGTATAGGCCTGTCACGATAAACAATAAATCAATTAATCGCATGATAAATGAAAATTGTCGACCTCATTTTCATTTATCGGCTTTATCGTTTCTTCGTGTCTCTCTCGTTCTACTGAAGACACTGGATGACAAAAAAGCTCAACTCTGGTGCTGTTCACTGACCCCGCCCCCCTTCCTCTTTAAAATCCATTTTAATCGTCCAAAATGGCGTTGTTGGATCGTTAAAAGCAGCTAAGCTATGAGCTAAGCTAACAGGCCGACCTCGAGAACAAACTCCGTCTTGTCGAAGCTCCAAAATTCACAGTTGAAACCCGTGCCTTCATGTAAAAAGTTGTTTTTCTCTGCAAAAAGAAGCTGAAAACTTGTTTACTGATTTTTTTTATTTATTAAAAGCTTTGTGTGAAAAATGCTAAAGTGCTCAAACCACACCGAGCGTCCGCCATTTTGAGAACTTAAGACTGCTCATGTCACGTCAAGGGGCCTCCTTCTCATTTTTCTTAAAGAGACGCGCTGCTCACTCCCTCACTATCCATCCTTTGGTTAAACAGTACTGCCATCCGGTGGTCGAAAAAATGTACTGCACGCAAAACAAGTTAAACATTTCTTCTTAAATTTGACAACAATTACTAATTATTGTCAAATTTCAAACAATATTATCGTTTATCACAATAATTTCTTAGACAATTAATCGTCCAGTAAAATTTGTCATCGTGACGGGGCTACTACGTAATCTTTGTGTTTCTGAAGGTACTCTTTGCAAAGGATGGACTAAGGGATTCTCAACAGACAGAAAACATTGTGTCATCAGCTAAGCTCACGTTTTTTTCAAAGCCAAAAATTTGCAAATTAGATGTAGAGTTTTGACAATTTCAAAACAAATAGACTAAAAATGTTTTAATTTGTTCACATAGCTAACAGCAAATTATTTTTATTGATGTTACAGTGATAAATAATGGAGTTGTAGCTGAAATGGAGACTATACAACGCACATTTCTTGCAATATTTCAAGATGTCGCACTCAAAGTATGTGTTGCGGATGACCCAGCTACTCCCACACCAGCATTTAGCAAAATATTTGTAAAAATGACTGAAATATATATTTTTTGTTTGTTTGTTTGTTTTATTAGCTCAGTTTGCTGTGAAAGCCATCTACTGGTACTCAGTTGAACATACAAAGATAAGTTTCTTTACTATTTAAAAAATGTGTCCATTGGTGCATAAGATATTTTACTAACAGCCTAACACAAACAAAAACCTAATTAGCCTCGGAGAAGCAATGGAATCAGACAAGCGTGGAATCCCGAAGACGTTTATGTGGAAATAAAAGCGAATCTGCTGCAATAAAAGACCATAAGGCAAAAATAAATCTCACGTTTTGCTCACAAATGTTTAGTTTACGAACGCATTCATTATCAGTACAAGAAGTGGATTTTGTTCCTTACTTTATTAAATAATTTTCGTCCAGTCTCCATGGCTTTGCAGCGAATACCTCGAATGCTTCCTGTTCTAAATTGTGTTTACTCCTAATTGGCAGCGTGAACGGGAGCTCTCAGATTGATGGTTTTAATTAGTGGAAATGGGACGACGAAGCTCGAGCGGCTCTTTGCTGAAGGGCAGCCTTCATCCTGCCTAACTGTTCCAGAATGTCGAGCGAGGGGGTTTAACCTAAATCTCAGCTCCCAATCCAGGCCGTGTTGCTTTCACTGTGAGCGAGCTGACAGCGCTCTCCTCCTTTGTCCCGTAATTACCCCTCTTTGAGTGTACATGCTGTCTGCACCGCTCCGCTTCTTTGTTTGTCCTCCATATAATTTATCTCCTTTGTCTCTCTCTTACCCTACGCTGAGATTAAAATAGATTAATCAGGGATTAGGAGGTGAAATCAGAGACGGATGTATTGAAAGACTCCATTCAGTGGGTGCCGACGAACTGCTGATGTCTGTTGCACACACAAGAGCCTGCACAAGCGTTTCATGTTTTTCTATTCCAACGCAGCGCACGTTGTGTTTGTGTGCAGCTGCATGTGAAAAGCGATGCTATGGTGAGGCGTGGCAGCGATGACGGATGTTGAGGCGACGTACGAGGACTTCGTCGCGTCTCGACGGTCTGGTCGCAGGAACGCCGTCCATGACCTTCCAGGAAGCGCAGGAGCGCCGGACGTGTCGGAGAGCCTGGCTCAGCTCAGTATCAACAAATCTGGTGAGACGCTTCATTTCACTCCGATAGGAGAAATAAGTTTTTTTATTTCTTTATCATTTAGGCATTAAAAAGGCTCCCGAACTTACTTGGACAAGTGGCAGAAATAAAAATAAAATCCCACAACAGACAGATTTTAAGAGTTTTTAAAGAACAATTATTGCAGCAACCTTTGGAGACTATCCAAGTAATGATGGCTGCCACAGCTAAATGACAACGACTAAAGCAAAATGGCGGGTTATAAGCGTTTGTTTAATTTGTTTTTGATTAATTGGTCCCCCGTTGCGAAGCAAAGAGGGGAATTGGAAAACCCCGTCTGTCCATCCACCCTGTGAGCAGGATAACTTGACAAATAAGTGAAGTACCGACTTCCATTTTGGTGTGTGGCTGCATCCAGGCGTAAGAACAATCATTATAAAAATAATTAAATATCAAAATAAATAAATATAGTAATAATTAAATAAATAAAAATTAATTAATAATTAAAAAAATATATATATATATATATATTATTGCAAGTGTAAATCTGCGAAGTGGCGACGTTATATTTATGTTAGTATTTATATTTTAAGGCTTTAGAAACCCTTCCCGCACTTTTGCAATGTTCTAAACTCTTAAACCGACTAATTTTAACAACATACATATGTAGCTACTAAATTTTACTCACCAGCTCGGCAGAACAGCAGCAGCTCGGTTCCGCTCCCACTTGGTTCCGTTTCGGTGGACCTACCCAGCCAGTTCTGGTCGGCTCTCTGGCTCGGGGTAGTGACGGTGTGCTCCAGAGAGAAGCCAGACCTATGGTGGTGCGACCCCCGCTCAGAAGTCCTCGTGGTCCGGCTAGCAGCTCTCGGGTTCACCGAGGAGTCTGGAGGACCAGTTTTGCTCTGGTTCTTGTCCGGTTCCCGGTGGGTTCCGTGAGACTTTATGCATTTGCTGGGTGCCAAAGTCACTGCACTGAACTTTTTCTGATCAGATCAAAACTTTCCCTCTAGTATTTCAGCAGAGGGCAATGGGGCTTCTAGGCGGGGCCCTGTTGGCTTCTGGGAAATGTAGTTGGTTGTGAGCAGGAATACAGTATAGGCTTATTAAGAGAAAATTACAAAAAGGCAGTGCCTGTCCGAAGTACAGTATTTTATTTTTTCCATTAACTTTTACTGTACAGTATTCCATACTGTCCCAATCACGTGAATAATATTAAAGTTGACAATTATTTGTCCTGTACAATTATTTTTTAAATCTTATGTTGAAAAACCACGAAAGAGCAAGTCTGCGAAAGTTGAACTGCGAAGTAGCAAGGGACAACCGTATATATATATAAATACATATTGGGCTGGCCAAATAATAATTTATAGTGGCTAAGGCCACCATTGGCCACCCTCTGGCTCCGTCATTGCCCCTGGTGGTAGATAAAATGGCTCCCTCTGCTGGCCAGATTCGTCATTGCACTGCCTCGAACCAGCAAAAAATAAATAAAAACTACAGTACTTGCTGTCGTAAACAGCGCACCACTGTATAAGTCGCATCAGTCCAAATATGTCTAATAAAGTGGAAAAAAAAACAAATATGTCACTTCGCCGTTTACCTCGCATCTATTTTGCATCACTGCTAACACGTCGCATTTGTTATGCGTCACCGCAGACAACTCAGAACTGTGGGCCGGTGTTGCGCCAAATATCGATTGGCTGCCAAATGGCGGCCGTGGGAGCGTGCATGGGAGGGCTTTAACAAGAATTTAACAAGATTAACACTTAAAAACAAAAATTTGTTTGCTTAAAATTATAGTAAAGGTGTGTCTCAGTTGAACTTTTCTTTAATAAATGCACTTTGACTGTCAAATCAGCTGCTTTTCGCCTGGGCGGCGCGGTGAAATGCAGCTGATTTGACGTTTGCTCCATGAGTTCCGGAGCGAGACGAGGGTGGCTAGGTATGGCAAGCCAAGTGTCTCATTAATAGCCATTTTTAACTAATAATGAGACACATGGCTTGCCATATTAGTTGAGGGCCCTCTAGTGGCTGAAAATGGTAGTGTTCAATATTTTCCATGTCAGAATGAATGAAATTGTCAGATCTCAGCCAAAAATTGGGTATAAATATGGGGGGAATAAAACAAATATGTTGCTTCGTTGTATAAGTTGCAGGCATTCTAATTTATGCAAAAAGCTGTGACTTATACAGCGAAACATACAGAACCTCTGTTCCTACACAGGGTAACTTCTAGCCACTTGAACATCTTGCACCAAAAACATTAAGGTGCATTCCCTGTTCAATTCCAGTCTGGAACACTCATCTGTAAAACTACAAACATTCACTCCTCAAGTCCCTCAGCGACGGGAGACACCGGCGTACCGCTTGCTCGTCATGAAACTCATTGTCTCTCTTTCCTTTTCCGTTTGTGGTGCGGCGAAGAAGACGACGCAGAGAAAAGCCAGGACTCTCCAGAGAAAGAAAAAGAGGCTCAAGCTGAAGACGCCTAATCATCACATGTGGACTGTGGTCGATCCCTGAACACCGGAGCCTTCGACTCCTCCACAGAGCAGTCTCCCTGTAGTTGTATCCACGGATCCCTGACCTTGTGCTTTCCTGTTGCTTCGTTTGTGGCTGTTGTTTTAGGACGGTACGTAATGAAGTTACTGCTTCAACCAGTCCTGTTTTGGGATTAAATGTGGAGCAACAAACAGGAGGAAAGATGGGAAAGAACTACCGGTACTTGAGTTGTTGTTTTTTTTGAGGCAATCTAATTATACTTGTCCTCCCTCTCACCCCCTGCTGCCAGAGTCAGCTAAACTCTAACAGCTAAAACTCTTCCAAGGGATCAAGGAAAGCGGTTTGGACTTCACCTGTTGCATAGAAATAGCATTTGCACATTCTCCCTTTGGCCATGCTCACTGTTTTCTGTTTCCTTTCTATTTACATGCGTTTCTCAGTGATTTGCTGCAGATTTGTGCACTCCAAGCCATGGTTCTACTTCACTTCCTTGAAGTATGGTCATTTCTTTCTCTGCTGCTCTCCGGGGTTGAATATGGAGCCAGTTTTGATCGAGCGACATGATTTGCTCTGAGCCATATCTTTGACTAAAGCCAGGATCACACTGTGGGGTTTTTTGGCCGAAGTGTTCAGTCGGGAAATGTAACAAAAGCTGGTGGTGTTCAGCAGGACGACCTCATCAACAGCTGATGGAGAACGAACATATGTAAAAAAGACATTGAACAGCGTCAGAAATGATCTGGATCATAAAGAACGCCATCTAGTGGTTGGCTCTACTACGATTTTTAAGTCCACCTACACGTAAACAAAAAGGGAAATTTTTTCTGACTTGTTTTTTAAGATGTTGATTTTTGTCCATTAGCGTTAATCCTTACCTTGCTGCTGTGCACACGTGTGCACTTTTCCCCACTACATGATTAGTTGTAGTTATTTCAAACTTAAGAAAAGTAACATTTTAAATAGGGATGCACGATATTATCGGCATGGTATCGGTATCGGCAAATATTAGCGATAAAATTAAATCTTGTCATCGGCCATTCCATCAAAATAACTCACCGATATAAAAGGTGCTGTTTTAAGTTAATTCTTAATTTAAGAAACTGTCAAGTATATCTATTAATGCACTACTACTTGTGCGACGCAGCTGCGTTGTCGCCTGTGGTTTGAGTTTAGATTCGTGAAAATTTACAAATTTGCACTGCTCGAGTGTTGTCATTGTGTTCGAGAGAAAATATCATAAATAAATTTGACATTAAACATAATCCAAGTTGAAGTGTTGCATCATTTTCAGCCTTCGTTTTGGCATCTGCATTTGGTAGCAGCCAAACTGACAAAGACCGTGCCGGATAATGTATTTTATTTCCACAGCAGAGAAAGCTGTGTAGTCTCTGTAAGTAGGTGTAAGAGAAAAATATCGGTATCGATTATCGGCCAAATAAGTTTTAATATATCGGCATATCGGCCAAAAATCCAATATTGTGCATCTTTAATTTTAAACATGGCTTGACATCTTCACAACCTGTTTGGGGGGGGGGGGGGGGGGTGTAAAGTGGGGCTTTGGCGATGCGTCCCTACAATACGCACGCTCTGGCTTCCAAAATGCAACACGGCAGCGGCCAAGAACTGGATCTTTTGGCTTCAGTGTTGAACAGCAGCAGAAGTTGGAGATGCTTCGGCAAGCGTGTCAAAAACTGAACCGTGAGGTTTAAGTTTAAGTAAATATTCCCTTCTTTTTTTTTTTTTTTTTTTTTGGTTTCTGTCTCTGCAGCTCAAGACGAATGAGGAAGTTCTTGTTTCGTTTCCTCCGGGTGTGTTTCAGTCTGTGTTGTTGCGTCGGCAATCACAGTCACTTTTTAATTTTTTTTAGTATTTAAGGCTGTGAAGTTTTCCTACTTGCATTTATTTAAAGGTTTTCTTAGCTTGTGTGCAACGTTTTCAAATGTAGCTCAACCCAGCCAGCGTTTACAGACGGAACGTTTTACGTGATTTAACTTCGGAGAATCGTTGTTTAGGTTTAAAGTGATACTTTCACATTACTGCACTTAAATCCTGTTTATGAAACCCTGCAGTGTAATGGGAGTTCTGGTTATCCTGCATCAACGCTGCCATTTCTTATATTTTTGTGTAAGTTTGTGTGTTTTCTAGTGAATTTGGGGGAAACGGCTGTTGTCTGCTGGAAATGAGAAAAATTGCACTACTGATTACACTCAAGTGTGAATTATAATTTATCTATCACACGTGAGATGTTTTTTAAGTTCCTGTAGATGCTTGTTAAAACATGCCCAAGAACCTTTTTAATACTAAAAATAATAATAAAACTTTGAATACTGTAATTGTAATCTGCCTTGTTTTGCTACACAAATATACTTTTTGTTAAAAATGATGGTCATCTGGTTCCTTTTGTTTCTTACTTGATAAGAGCTAAAGGTATTTTTCAGCGTATTTAAATTAAACAAGATCATATGGTGTACAAAAACTCAGGTGTAGTGTTTTTTTCTTTTTTGACCTGATCATGTTCCATTTCCTTCAATAACTCAAGCACTTCTCACATCATGTGTTTAAAAATGTTTTATGTTTGGTTTATTTTTTTTGTTAAATAACAAAAAAAAAAATGCCACTGGTTATTTAAAAAAAGACTGGATGAATAATGAAAACAAATAAATTGAGGTGTTCTGTGTGCAGGAGCTGAATCTGTGTGGTCTTTGCTGCCCTCTAGTGGTCAACTGGTGACATAACACTTAAATCTGAGAATATTGTAATCTAAAAGGTAATTATTAAAATTGTTTTCTAGGATTAGTTTTTTTTTTTTTTTTTGGGGGGGGGGGGGGGTAATGATGGCACAGTTTGACTCAGACATGTAAGTTTGGATGTTTTATTCAATGTGCCAACTGAGCAAATTAGAGGAGTTAAAAGTGTGAAGGGGGGGCATGACGAGGCATCAGAATGGGAACAGACATACACTTCATGGCTATTCAGTTGTAACTAATAAAAGCACATAAAACTTATCTTTTTGAAGAGCTGCCTATTTTTTTTCTTCTTTTAAACAATAACACCGATTTGACAAATATTACTCGAGGCACTTTGCTGCTGTTTGACGAAGAGTGTGCATAAAAGAAATCAGGATTACTTTGGTGCATGACGTCTCACTGTCCTGTCTTCAGCTTGGCCACAGGGTTGATGAATAATAACACCTCTGATCATGACTTTAACATTTGTCTTTAATGGAATAACTGTTAAATATACAGTACATGAACTCAAGGTGACATTGTGAACTGCACAAAGTAAAAATCCAACATATTTGCGTCTTTATACGCAGTGAGAAAATATTGCTTTGTAGCTTTTTTTTTGGGACAAATTTTCAGACTTCATGCTGAGAATCGATACACGCACATATGCTTGGATGGTAACAGCAGAAATTGTGCTTCACGTATAAATACAACAGAACGCTACAAACCACAAACATGGAGTATGAATACTGCAGAGGTTGAAAAGCAAAGTCCAGTTGGAAAAAACAGAACTCGGGTGATACCGTGGTTATTTCAGGTAGGACAGGCTGCACTCGGCACGCAAAGAACATCATGTAAACGCTTTAAAGATACTTTTCGGAGACAGTTTATCTTAATTACTGCCGAGCGGGACAAAAAGTCCATGAACGTCCTTGTAGAGCTCAGTATTCACGTACGCTCGAGCTACTTCCCTGAATGTTCGGCCGTCAATGATCAGGAAGAAACCAGACTGGCCCGGGCTGGAGTTAATAACTGATACCAGGACAACTCCTATAAATAGACGGGGATAAATCCATCAGGACGTCATATTGCCCAATAAAAATAAAACGAACTGCAGATCGTGTAGTGCACTCACCATCATCCTCGGACTCGCCGTTTGGTCTCGGGACGAACACCGGCTCTGAAGGACAGCAGTTCGCCTCTTCCCAGTAAACCGTTGTTTTAGTCTCCGTGTCGAACTTTGCAATCTAACATAAACAAATGGCTTGAATACATTTGAGCTGTGCAAACTCTGGTAGGACGTAACAAACCGCAGCAGCATGGACTTATTCACAGTAAAGATTGTGTGCCTTTGCTGTTTGTCCCAGCAGCAAACTGCAAAAGAATTAAACTCACCTGCACCTTCTCCATTGATAACTGGAGAAATCGCATTATGCGAAAATGCAGTGTGAATGCTTATTGCAGAAGAACTTGCTGAAAAACGGCTGAAAAAACTAGCTAAAAACATGCATCAAAATGTTCAGCTCGTTCAGGACAATCCTGCTCTGACTTTTGGTATTGGTGCAACTTTAGCTTTTTGAAATATTTAGCCTTTTCTGCCACTTTTTGTCTCATAGAAAATGAACTGAGCTCATTTTACCTCCTTCAGATCTTTAGATGTGTTTACAACCTTTTACTGCTCCTTTCACAGTTTGTTCTGCTTCAGCCTCTTTCAGCTTCCTTCTGCAAATTTAGACTTTTTTTCAGCTAATGTCAGCTGTTTTTTTTTTCCAGCTATTTTGTGCTCCTTTCAGCTTTTTTCTGCTAACTACAACATTTTTGTGCTTCTTCTAACTTATTTCTGCTCATCTCAGTTTATGTTCCATTCAGATTATTTATGCAATTTTAAGCTTTTTTTTCCATTTCAGCTACTATTTAGCTGTTTTTATGCTTATTTTAGTTTTTTGGAGCCAATTCCAAATTTTTTGCACTCATTTAAACATTCAATTTATGTCAGCAAAAACATACTCTCTCCGCTTCCTTCTGGTAATTTAAGCTTCTTTCTGCTTTTTTAGCTACTTTTCAGCTGTTTTTTTTTCTCCTCATTTCTGCGTCTTTCAGCAAACGTGTTCTTTCTGCTTGTACAATTTAAGCTTTTTCTACCTTTTCAACTATACCATAGCATTCTTAGCTAGTTTCAGCTGTTTTCTTATAAAGTTAAGTTTTTCGAGGTGATTTCTGCCAAATTAACTTCTTTCTGCTAATTTCAGCTTGTTATACTCCTTTTACCTTTGTTCTTCTAGTTTCAGCTTTTTCTGCTATTTCAGCTACTATTTAGCTATGTAGTTGCTAAATTTAGCTTTTTCAGCTAATTCCACATCTTTGGAGATCTTTCAGCTCTTTCCATTTCCTTCTTGTAGTTTAAGCTTCTTTTAGCCTTTTTTTTTAGATAATTTCTTGATTTTTGTGCTCATTTCAGCTGATTTAAATCTAATTCAGCAAATATGTGTTCTTTCTGCTTTCTTCTGCTAATGTGGGCTTGTTCTTCCATCTCAGCTACATTTCACATTTTTTAATAGCTAATTTCAGCTGTTTTTCAGCAAGTTCTTCTGCAATAAGCATTCACACTGGATTTTCACAGGAAATGCATTTTTTCTTCTTCTTCTTTCAGTTTATATTGGTTTATATTTTAGGTCTGGTGATGATTTTTTGGACAGGATCATGGGTGGACATGTGGCAGGACTCGTGTCCCTCCCCCACAAAAGGCTTCTCTTTGCAGAACATGAACTTAAGTGTCTCTTAATGACTCATAACACTTGGTGTCGTGTTGAAATTTCATAAGCCAGGAACAATCCATCTCTTGGTCCAACACAAAGGCTCTGTAATAAACTTCCACTTCAAGTTGGTTCCATTAAGTTTCTGCAGATATCAGAGATCTGCAGGTTCGTCCAACGTCAGTTCTGCGTGATAACCCATTGTTTTATGTTTTGATGCACAAATAGACCCAACTGAGCAATTAAAAACTTTTCAATCTACTGCCGAGACAAGAGGCAATTGAAAAAATTTAAAGCACATTGTGTTGCACCCTTAGGTAATTCTCAATAATGTGTTTACCTTCAATTTGTGGAACAATGCTGACAGGAACAACCTGTTTACCCCCAAACTGCATCGAATATCTTTGTTCTTAAGAAGTTCCCAAGTTAAAGATCTTTCCTGACACTCATTAAGCTCAAGACGTATCAAAGACACACTCCCAGAAAGACGGTTGGCATTCATCAAATTTAAAAAAAGATTGACGAAAGGTCACCTGTGTCGTTAAAGCAGATTCTGCCACGATGTTCCCGTAGACAAACTGGTGCTTCTTGCCGTTGAAGTCATAATTGATTCTGGGTAATTCAAAACCTGAGAGAAATAAAAGCACAGCTTTTGTTCTTGAACATCTAAGCTCAAGGTGAAGGAGTCCTCGAGAAAACGAATAAACTGGTAAATAAATCCTCACGAGGCTGGACGTACCTTCACAGAGCACCTCCGCCTGGCACACGAGCTTGCCTTCTTTTTCCTTCACAGCGCTGGCTCTTGTGTACTTGAGTTTCACCATATTTTCTCCAACTGCAACGCTCTGCAAAACCAGCACTTAAACGTAAGCGATATTAAAAGTTTTTAAAGCACAGTATGAAATCCATTTTTTAAATTGCCCACCTTGTCCGAGTGAACAGGAAGTGCAAATCTGCGATAACTTGGTTTGGAGTAGCCTTGGCCTTGGGAACCAGCAGGTTCCCTCAGCTTGCTCAGGTAGAACATCTCATAAAGGCTGATATCGTCGTAAGCAATGACATCAAAGACCACGTGACCGTCATCCTCAAAAGCGTTCACGTGATGATAGACGACCATTGCTCCAGTGTAGAACTTGATCTCAACCTTTTTGCCAGTATTTTTGTCAATCAGGTGGATCAGAGTCTAATAAAAATTAAATACTGAAAATTATTGTTTATCACCATCCTCTTCTTCGCAGGTGACCAAAATATCGACATTAAGGTTAGTTAAACTCCTTACATTTTCATCAGGGCAGTACTTCATGCAGCTCGCCCAGTTCACTCCCCTCATGTAGGCCGTGGCCATCCTGAGAATGTCCAGCTTGAACGGCTGCTCGATGAAGACGATGTAGTTTTCCGTCATGCCGAAGCTGTGGTAGTAGCTGGGCGTGAGCAGAGAGCGGCAGGGAACCGTGCAGACCACCTGCACGTTCTTCAGGGCAGGAACATTCCTGTCTTTGTCTAAAAGGTGACAGTAAAATACAACAAAACTCCAAAAATAATGCACATTTCTATTTTTTGCACTGCTAACCAAACGGTGTCCTACGGAGATAATAGTGGTTCAAAGTTCAAGGTAACTTTATTATCTCCAAGAGGCAATCAGCTTCACAGCTGAAGGTAGAACATAAATAAACAACAAAACACAGTTTTAAATAAAGGTCTAGCATTCATTGGACGAACGCCTATCGTTGCCAAAGTCCATGCCCGTCTTAAACTAAGATCCTGTTACCGTATTTTCTGGACTATAAGTCGCTGTTTTTCATAGTTTGGCCAGTCCTGCAACGTATAGTCCGAAGCGACTTATATACGTTTTCTTTCCCTATTCATGACGCACGGCGACCGGCTCTGGGTCGGTCTGGAAGAGTCCGGGGACAAAGTGGCTCTACAGCGCCCCCTCGCCAGCATCTCGTCGCTCCCCAGGGCCGCAGACCTCGTGCCTTGCTACCCCTTCCTCCCCGCTCCAGCGGCAGAGGGACGGGTCCCCCCAAGCTCACGGCACGGCTGGCGACCGGGACGGACTGTTCTCAGTGCGACGCGACCATGCAGCGCCGCCCAGGAGAATGAAGCTGTTTTGACCATTAAAGTGCATTTATTATAGAAAAGTTCAACTGAGACGCACTTTGCTATAATATCGAGCAAACAAATAATTGTTTTTAGGTGTTCATCTTGATAAATTTCTAAGAACTGCAACAGCGAGTCCTCCCATGCGCGCTCCTGTGGGTCAGTGGTGACGTACAGTAGAATACATTTATTTTGACTGATGCGATCTATACTCCGGAGCGACATATAGTGCAAAAAATACGGTAGATTTGAAGTCATTATTTGTAAAATTCACTGAATTATAAAGTCATTTTTGTGTTTTCTTAAATATAGTTGCTGTGGCAGCCATATTGGTTCAAGTTGACGCCAAATGTTTATAGATGTCTATCCAATAATTACTTTCTAAAGACTTTGATCAAATCTGTCCACTGATTCATGAGAAACACAGGCGACAGGCAATAATCAGCATATTTTATGCTAAATATAATCTGGACGCAGAGCATTATGGTGAACAAAGTTAAAGAAAATGAGGCATCAGATAGTGTGCGTGGATTATATAACCTGCCTTTCTCTGACCGAGCCGGGACTTTGAACAGAGTGTATTTGGTCTTTCCCTTCTCTGCTATCGAAGTCCCAAAGTTGTAGGCATTGCCTTCTTTGTCATAGTGTGGGTGCGATGAAGCCAGGTTTACCGGCAAGAACTTCAAGTAGTCCACCTGTTGGGCCCATAAATCATGAGCTTGGAAACAAACGTTTGAACAAAAAACCCACCAGAAGTCGTGTTAGCTACCTTGTCCTGAGTTTCAAGGGTAACCGGATCGATCTTGCGAATGTAGTTGGTCTCAGAAGTGGCGTAATAGTCATTCCCATATTTTATGATGTTGCTCGCACCGTTGTCGGTGAAGTCAGGCACAGTGTGGTTCAGGAACGTGATCGCCCTGAAAACATGGATCAGGAAACGAGTAACCATCAGCACACGGGCGAGGTGTTACCTTGCCTTCACTGATTGCTCCTATAACAAGTGCGAATGTACAAGAAGCATCGAATTTCACATGAAAAGCAACGTTTTATAACTAACACAGCACAGCTCCCAGTCTGTTGTGTTAGCAAAATATCTCATGAACTGCTGGACGGAGTTTAAAGAAAACTTTCAGAAAGTTTCGGCTATCACAGCTGATGGTAGAAATCACAAAAATGGCTTTATGTAACGCGCTTAAGTTTTACAGATAGGAAGCGAAAGTTTGCAGAACAGATCTCACAGTATTGCATCAGATCGTGCATATCATTTACAACTCTGTCCCTTCTGAAGATAAGACCATCTCAGTTTAAAGCTTTCCAACAAAAGGCAGTAGGCTTTCGTTCGAGACATGCCGAGCCTTAACTTATTGCAGTTGTGCTTACTTAAATATAAGATTCTTGCTTGGGTCTGGATAGGCCATCGTTCCCATTTCAGACACAACTATCCTGTTTGCAGCCATGTTTGCATTGTAAGTGTCACTTCTCAGGAACCTACTTCTATGGGTCACTTCACCTGTAAGGAAAAGGGACAATTAAAACCAGAGCAAACAAAAAATGGTTCATATATATATATATATTAAAAGCTGCTCATCTAACCATCTTTGACCGTGAAGCTGGTCAGTATTGACATGCCATCAAACCAGTGCTCATAGCTGGTCTCCCCTACAGAGAAGATCCCAGGTCCGTTACGCAGGAGAGTCCCCTGCAGCCAGCTGGGAATGCTTCCTGTTTTAAAACGAACCACGTCATCTAAAGCGGTCAAGTTTACGGAGTTGCATTTGTTGCTTTAAAACCAAACTGACCTTTGACTTCTGCCTTAAACGGCTCCGGCCGCTCCTTTGCATTTTTGGAAAAGTCAGGGTTCATGTTTGCCGACGGTGCGACGCTAATACAGGAACCTGTGCAGCTTCCTCCCCTTTTTAAATCCCTCGTCTTGTTTGGGGGCAAGGCAAAGGAGGAGTTAGCCGTCAAAAAAAAAAAAAAGGTTTCTTCCTCCTCCTTTCAGAGAAATCCTATTCTGCACATTTTCATTTACAAATGATTTTAACTGGACCAACTGTTGATTTTATTACCAGTACTCCCACTTGTATATGCACTCTGCATTTTTAGGACTGCATTATGCCTGGTAAATACATTATTTTGTTGTGTCAGGAGCACTGACTTAGTCTAATCATGAATAGTTTTATGCTTTTAAGATTGCAAAATTGCTTTATGACCTTCTTGCATTTACCGTTTCTAACTGTGTGTTTTATATACAACATTATAGTCCATGTTCTGTGAAGAGTTTCTACTCAACGATGTGGCGTAACTCCAAGCACAGGCTCAAAATATTACTGAACAGTGAGATAATCTCCTGATTTTTCTGTTTGTGTCCGTCTTGTAATAAATGACAGGGATCTTTTGGAAAGACTTGAGTTGGGGTTAAAATTATGGCGCAAAGTTAAAGCCAGGGTAAGAATATCTGCTTAGACTTGGTCTCCATTCAGGCTGGAATTTGTTTCGTTATTGGAATGGGAAAGACTTTATGTGCGTGTGAAGCGTATCCTGTTTGCCAGTCTAATTTGTGGTATAATTACTTTGTTGTCCTTACTTCGTAATGGTAACAACAGATGTTTAAGTTGTCTGACATATTTTTTTGTTGTGCGTCATCAGCTGATGCGCAATTTCTTCTCTACTATTTCAGAAACCAAGTTAGGATTCATACGATTAAGGGTGTGGAAGTGAGAGACCTAAGACACAATTATTATTATTATTTATCTGTATTAACTATGGCAGCACGGTGGCTCAGTCAGTAGAGCTGTTGCCCCTCAGTGAGAAGAATATGGACACCAGTGACCCGAAAAGGAAGAAGCGGGTAAAGATAATGGATGGATGTATTAACTACTTAAAATATATGTTCAAAGTGTAGACTATAAGACACAGTACTTGGTACATACCCTGTAAGTACAAGGTAAAATGTTACTTCATAATACAATCTGGTCCCTGTAAGTACTCTGAAACTTACTGTACCTTGTTGCTACCACAAAAACACCCATACCCATAAACATAAAGTACCAGATACATACTCATTATGTACCCCATGAGTACCAGGTGTGTATCAAGTAAGTACATGATATGTACTCAGGTACTTAAAAACCCTGTAAGTACCAGGTATACCACGTAGCTACCAGGTAAGTTCCCTGACTATTTTGTATACTGTACATTTGGTATACACCAGGTATATACCAAGTATGCTCAGTGTAAGTATCAAGTATAAACCTTTTAATAACTGGATACTTACCTAGGAAGTACTACCGGTAGATATATACCCATTCTAGTGAGTACCAAGTACCAAGTAAGTACCAGATATGTACCCCAGTACTTACACACTCAATAAGTACCAGGTGCATACAAGTGGTATATACCAGGTATGTAACAAGTCTGTTCAGTGTTGGCATCAGGTATCACACCCTTTAAGTACCAGACACATATCCTGTGATTATCAAATACTTACCCCGTAAAGAACATGGTAAGTACTGGGTTGTATTATGTAGTACTACCTACTTGTTAGTACCTGAACTGTTCCATAACACCTTCCAATTAAAATCTGGAGATAAAATTAACTAAACGATATTAGTTACTTTTATTTCTGGAACTGAGAGTGTTTGTTTTCTTCAAGTAGAGCTACTGTATCAGAAAAATCAAAAGTGATTCAAAAAGCCTTTTAAATCTTTGAGACTGCCTGAATGTCAGAACCTTCCCTGCACAAACAAACACAGACACAAAGGAGAAGAAAATAAAACTTGGAAACGTGGACTCTGATGGGTGTTTAAAACGAACCACCTGCTGAATCCAAAGTTCCTTGATGCACTCACGTTATCAGTGAAATGCTTGGACTGATATCAGTTCATTTAATGTCGGTAGCAAACACTATGGACTCGAACAGTCAAAATGTGCTGCAACTCATAAATACATTCTACATGTTGACAATATCCACAGTTATATGGTTTTTATACGTTATCCTGACAATGATTACAGCTAATTCATCTGTCCTTGCCACAATAATCTGATGATTATCTTTACATGTGAGCAGAGGCCTACCTCACATGGAATAAAATAAAATACACGGAACATCAGTCTTCTAGTGCCTTGTTTGGCTGTTATCAGCTAAATTTTGCACTCACAGGCGCTCGCTTACATTTCCTATAAAAAACATAATAAATTACACTGACTTGCTTATCTCCATATCAAAATTAATAATGACATCCTATGACATTGGTTTCTCAGACCACATTAATGGTTGGTTTTCTAATTACCTCTCAGATCGGAGCGATGTGTTCAACATAATGGTACTTCTTCCAGTTATGGTGTTCCACAAGGCTCAGTCTTAGGACCCATCCTCTTCACAGTCTGTAAGTAATGTAAGTCAGATCATTCCTGAATCCTGTTGCATCCTTACATTTCTAGGCTGACGACAGTTTCTTATTGTCGAGCTAAAACAGTTGCTAACGATTTTCAGCTTTTACAGTCTGCATTTGACATCATTCAGTCAAATTTGTTCCGTCTCAAACTTGTGCTAAATGCTAATAAAACCAAAGGGATGTTGTTTTCAAACAGGAAGTCTGTAGACCAGCCTTCCTTCCTTCTATCTTATCTAAACGAGGTTCCTATTGAGTTTGTCAACTTTTACAAATACTTGGGAATCTTGGTCGATTTACAACTCTCTTTAAAGCCTCATGTCAAAAACCTGATAAAGAAATTGAAAGTAAAATTGGGTTTCTTCTAAAGAAATAAATAATGTCTTACTGAATGCTAGGAACCGCCTTGTAGCTGTTACTTTCCTTCCCTCCATTGATACGGTGACATTATTTACATGAATGCTCCTGCAAGCACCCTGCAGATGTTGGATGATGTCACTGTGCACCAAGATTTATAACTGGTTGTAACTACCGTACCATTCACTGCACCCTGTATTCACTGGTTAACTGGTCATCACTCTCATACTGGTTCATTTTCATCTTTAAATCACTTCTTGGTCTGTTGCATTCATACATCTACTTGTCACTTCGTCAGTGTAGCTACAGCATGCGCCATCAGGACATAATTACTTGCAGTGTACCCTCAGTGTGGACCGAATTCAGCAAAAGGGCCTTCTCTTACTCCGCTCCTGTGACACCTTGCACAAAGATCGAAAGTTGTCGACTTTGACCTCTAAGGGATTTTGAACTGTTAATTTCAATGCAAAAAAATCAACACAGACGTGATCTTGTTTTTAGCATTTTACAATTTTATTATGAAGCTGTTTTTGTTTCGTTTTTTACCACTTCTTTTATGTACTTTTCATTTCATATGCTTTTATACAAATGTCTATTGTTGTCTGTACCTCATCTGTGGTCTTTGTTTAAAACAGGTCTCTCTTGAAAATGAGTCCTCGAAGCTAACCTGTATAAATATTAAGGTTCGATGAAAACTAAACTCTTGGAAAAATACACATTTTCATAAAACAATACACTTATACTGCCCCAGCTGAAGCATTACAGAGTTTATCTTTCAGACAAAACAGGTTAATCTTTAAACACGTTTTTGACAAAGAGAGACATATGACAGGATTTAATTTAGTATTTATTGTCAAGAATAAATCAAAATAAAACTGACAAATTCCTATCTCCCAATACATTCATAGAATGTCACAAACGTCTCGGCTGATACTTTAGTCAAACAGCGTTAAGAACAAAAACAGTTTAGTTTTCTGCTTCCTTTGTTAAAAATGTGATTCTGTTTGAATAATAATTTGAAAACATACTGTATTATGCAAGATGCCTGTGAAGAATAATGCTTATTTGCACTGCCCAGCTAGTTCTAAACCGTGCCGCAAAGTATTCAAGTATTCCCTTTCTGTATATTCATGTGCTGAATGAGATACTAAATCATCTGTTTGGTTTTTTCCCCATCACATCACTGGTATTTGTGGATTACATTGTGTGGCACAGAATAAAGTCTAAGTAAACATTATCTACATGTACAAATAAAAAATAAAATTAAAAAATGGGTCTTGCACACGTATTTGCCGTTTGGTTTACAACGCGATCTCCATGCATTTACACATGCGTTTACAGAAAGTGCATGAAAAGGAGAAAAATCAATCATGAGCTTTTGCAGACCAGATTCCACCAGATGGAGCCTGCAGTCCAGAAACCAACAAACTCCCATTAAAGCCAGTGAAATGCAAACAGGCTGCACATTAATCTTGTTTTTTTTTTTTGTTTTTAAGATGTGCGTTAAAAGATATTCTCGTGAAGAATGACACCCCCAGCTGTCAAATCTAACCAAACAGGTAAAGTATTTCACACCACTGAAGCAAATTAAACCGTACCTGTACATCCTGCGGCTTGTCACAACATGCAGAGAGAGGGTATAGAAGGGCAAAAACACCACACGCAAATTAAAAAAAAAAAAAAAAAACAGGTGGGGGAGCAACTTATCTCAATGGCAAAAGTTAAAAAACTTTTAAAAAATTAAATCATATTACAAAATCCTACCATTTGAAACCACAAAGGCAAAAACAATCACATTGGATGGGCGTCAGACTTGATAAGAAGTCGAGTAATTCACTGAAAAGAAGTCGGGAGTCTGAAAAATATTCAGTCAGAAGTTGTTCTGCAGAGGCAACGAAATGTAGCAAGGCATATGTTAAAAACAATCCATGTTCGTGCCTAACGCAACACCCGACCGAAGCTTGTTGATCTACAGCTCATGTAGAAATGACAATACAGTTTCAAGTATGTATTAAAAAAAACATATTGGCTTGAGGCTTTTATTTGAGCTAAAATGTTGCAAAACTAAAAAAAATAATAAATAAAACTCCTTTGATTCTATATGACAAAAAAAATTATGGTGGAACTTTTCAATGTTTTCTTTTTTTCATATAAAAATTATTCACATCATGAGGAAGAAGCCATCACAATCTTTGAAAAAATACTACTCGTGAAACCTTTAAGATATTTATCATTTACAGCACCGATTACAGTTTTTATTTTATTTTTATCGAAAAAAAAATACAGCGTAGATCATGTGCTGAATATTTTTAACTCTTTTCAGTTGAGCACAAAAAAGGTTAAATGCTGCTAGTTAATATTGTGAGATCAAATTAAAACATTTAGTCTAAAAATGAATTTATAAAGATACATTTTGATTTTTTTCTTATTGAAATGTTGGGGATCACAAAACCATAAAACTGTGTCCAAAACCATCTATAATTTTCAGCTAAATCGTTTTTAATTTAACTTTTTATTGTTTTAGCCTCAACTCATCACATCACTTTCAACCCTTTACATCCATTGCACAATAAGAAATAAATACAAGCATGAAAAGTAAAAAAAAAAAAAAGTTTTACTTTGTTTCCCCTTTTTATGGAGTAAAAACAAACTGTTTATGCAAATCATTAGGCTTAACAGATCAAGTGGCCTCGATTCAATTTCAAACTGGTTGGTGTGCAAACGTGGCCACTGGTTTGGAGTTTCCCTTTTAACGTTTTTAAAAAGTGCTCTCTCATTTTTAAAACTGTAAATAATTTTACAAGTACAATTCTGAAAAAGCTGAGACGTTTGGTCAAATGCAAATAAACCAGATTTCAATTATTTGCAAATCTCATAAACCCATATTTTATTTATAACGGCATCAAAAATAAAATGAAGAAAGTGCAATTTTGGGGTAAAAGTAGGTTATTTTGAATTTTAAAGGAGCAACGCATCTCAAAAACTTCAAGAATGGGAATCCGAACACTGTAAAAGTAAATGGTGCAAATAAACAGCTGGATGGGCATTTTGTACCCCATTAGGTTAATTAGCTTCCAGTCAGCAAGAGGACGGGGTGTAAAAAGAACATTTTAGAGAAGCTGAATCACTCCGAAGTAAAAATGGGCAGGGGTTCACCAGTCTGTAAAAAAAAAAATGTATCTGGTAAAATTTCAGAATATTGTTCCTGAGTGCAAATCTGTGGAGATTTAATATCTGAGCTCAAAGGACGAGGTTGAAAGTCAATAATGGATGATCGTGATCCTCGGGCCTTCAGGGGCCACTGCATTAAAAACAAGCCTGGTTCTGTTCTGGACATCAATGCATGGGCTCAGGAACAAGTCTACAAATAATTGTCTTTAAACGCAGTTCACTGTGCCAGCTACAAATGCTGCTTAAAGCTCTATCAGGCAAAGAAGGAGCCACATGTGAACGCCTTCCAGACACGCTGTCGTCTCCTGCGGACCAAAGCTCTTTTCAAATGGACTGAGGCAAACTGGAAAAATATTGTGGCCAGACAAACCAAATTTAATTTTTTTTACAAGGCCACATCCCCCATGCTGAGGAGCGGGATCATCCAGCTCACTATCAGTACACAATTCAAAAGCCTGCCTCTCTGATGATATGGGGGTACATTATTACCTCGGAGATCGCCAGCTTACACATCTGGAAAGGCTTCATTAATGCAAAAAAGCACATTCGGTGCTCTCAAACAGCTAGAATCCTCCATCTAAACAGAATGTGACAACATTCTCCCGCAAAAAACTACAAACAACTAGTCTCCTCAGGGAATACATTTAGACTGTTGCTAAAAAAAAAAAAACACGGCCTAGTCCTACGTTTTAGAGACATGCAGCTGCGATAAAACTCTAAATTACTTGTTTTTTAATCATACAATTTCTTGGTTTCAGCATTTGACATGTTTACTATGTTCTATTGTGAATAAAATATGAGTTTGACATTTACAATTCTGCATTCTGTTTTTATTTGCATTTTAACAACATTCCAACCATTTTGGAATCGGTGTTGTAATAAAGTTTTAAAACCTGTTTGCCTTGATCCCAGCAAGACAAAAAAACAAAAAACTTTTCAATAAACTTAAAATAAATAAAAAACTACTAGGCAAAGGCAACTGAGAGTTTAAAATGTCTAAAACTTAGTTTAAATTCATTGAATGTCAGTGGATGAGTGTTAAAATGTATACTTGTTCTCTATGTGCCACAGAGCCACTGAAGGTTTCCAGGTTTCCTTTACATATTTACCTTTTCAGAAGCATACATTTATAAATTTACCTTTTAAAATCTGCGACTCAATCTGCAGAAAAAAACAAACTCTCCTGTTAAACAGTCGAACTACAAAAAGAACGGTAAACATTTTCGACATTTTGTGGTTAAACTGGCAGTTTTTTTGTTCCAAGATGGACGCTTTTCTTTTGTCGTTGCAAATTGTTCATGAAAAAAAAAAAAAAATTGGTCATGCACACAAAATATTGCTTCAAAGTCTTATCATGGCTTAGGGATGACCAGCTAACTGGTCCATCAGTACATTTAAGGGACCGTCTGTCTTCTCAGAAGAACCAAAAAAAGAAGTTTTCCTCGTTACATTCGATCTTGCAGATCTTGCAGTCCTGCGGTTTGCTGCCATAGTAGCAACCTGATTAGTAAAGGTCCAAATTGCTACTAGTGTTGCAATGAGAGTATCTGAAATGTTTTTACACCACTGCCACTTGGTCCCTCAATCTGTTTTCCCATTCTCTTGAGGTGCTGCAGTTTTGCTCCGGCGTGCAGATCGCAACACTCTGTAGCAACCCCGTGCAATCTTATGCATCCACATGACGTTCATGATGTCCAGACAGATACTGGAGCAGATCCAGGCCACGCGGCCTCCCCAGGGTACCAGGTAGAAGGCCTCGGTGCCGTAGACTGCATACATACGACTGTAGTACACTGGCATGACAGCGATGCGGACCATAAAAAAGACTGCTGCCATGGCGACGCCGTTTGCCATATTGGGCCGGGATGACTTGGGATATCCTAGTACCTCAAAAAACCAACTGAAACAAAGAACATTTGTATGAGAATATTGTCCCAGAACAAACGGCAAAGCTGCGACTCTTGGAGACTAGTTGGCGGTTCAAGAAATGGGGAAAACTTTCAGTTGTAGTTTTACTGAATCCTGGATGTTTGCCTCCAAGCAACCAATAAGGATGTGGCAATGTTTGACAATCACAGCCTATTTTTGTATCTACGGATACAATATTTATTTGCCCACATCGTACCCTCCTCAGCCTGCAATGCACCCATATTGACATCCAACCCCATGTTTAGTATTTAAGCTACCGGACTGCACCTTTAAAATGAAGACTAGTTTTTAATATTTGCAATCGGTGAGATTTTTAAACTGCGACAATCAGGGCTATAGGCTCGGCTGTTTTCTCTTACAGCCGAGTTCTTGTGCAGGTGTCAAAAAACAGCTGTAGAAGTACAAAAACTAAAATGTGAAAGGTTCGAGACTAGGGGTGCACTGATTGCAGTTTTCTGGCCAATCACCGATTTCTAAAAAGTCTGACCTGCCGATTCCGATTTTGTTTTATAAGCAACACTGTCAGGTGTTATAAAGTCACAATGCACCTTCAATTTTCCAATATTATTTTGTTGAAAAACATACCCTTGAACAATATCCTAGAAACAATACAAACTGGTTTTAACTGGCCATGAGGTAGTGCTCTGAAATATAAATGAAGTTTAGACAATTGTTAAAACTACAAAAAAATCGTTAAAATCGGTTTCTTATGCAAGTATCGGCCAATTTCCGATTTCCCAAAATTAAGGCAATCGGGGCCGATAAATTGGCCGGCAAATTTACCTGTGCACCCCTATCTGAGATGGGTTGGAGATGCACACAGCAACTTTGCAACTTACGAAAATTCGCCCATTTTTTGAATAGTTTCAAAGTTAAAGCAACGAGACTTCAAGCCTCTGCGCCTAATGCCAGCAAATTGTGAATCCCTGCAAACATTTTAAGACATTCTGGCGACTTCCTCAAGTTCACCAGTCATCGTCAATCTCAGCAAAGTGAGACACTGAGTTAACAGTAAAATGTTTATATAATGGATTTTCTTTACATTATTCAAGAAACATGGCTAAGATGGAAAGCTGTGGCTGAGTGGTTAGAGCAGTCGTCCAGAGTGCATGAGTTGGAGGTTCAATTCCACCAGCAGTTGCATACTGAAGTGTCCCTGGGCAAGACACTGAACCCCTCATTGCCTCTGATGTGTGTCCCATCGGTGCATGAATGTGATAAAGCACAGATTGTTGTAAAGAGCTTTGAGTATCTTGATAAGAAAGAACGGCACTATATGAGTACCATTTACCATTTAAGATGAATTGCATCAGCTATAAGTGGTTTAATACAACATAAAGAAGGCAACAAATGTTATACAATAAAGAGAACAAGCAAGCTGCAGTAAAATATCTATGGGGGAAAAACATTTGTGATGCCTAAAACACTTTGACATAGATAGGATCTCAGGTTTTTAACAGTTATTCATTTTGAGTTGTGACAAGACAATATTTTATTTTTTGTGTGTTAATGATGTAGGTTATGAAATAACATGGATGGGGACCAAGTGTACTGTGAAGAATTGGAAGATTCTCCACTGAGAATAAATTAATCTTTACGCATTCCACTTGTTGAAGACAAATTTCACAATGAAATGCATCAATACTGACCAGTGACGTCCAGTCCTGGTCCTCGAGGTACCACTATCCTGAATGTTTTAGTCGTTTCCCTGCTCCAAAGCACCTGATTTAACAGCTGAACTACTTTTCTTTATAGAAATTTTAACTATTGTTTATTGCTGAACGAAGAGAAAGAGAAAGCCTACAAATGTACAATCCCAAAAAGTTTCCTCACATAAACAATTATGTCCCAGAAGACCTTGAATCCTAACAGACCTGAAACTCTGGTTGTTAAGTAGGCGAGTACATACCGCTGGTTCACACATGGTGTCGAAAACTCAGCGAGCAGACGGAAGTTAGCAAAATAAGGCAACGTTCCTTGGCCCTAAAAAAACAAGGTAAGCACAAGAAGACAAGAAAACATGAAAGGGACAAAATACGAGACAGAGCCATTTGGATCAGTTGGCATGAAGTCGACGCATGACCTCCTTCATAACACCATTTTTAGCGGACTCCTAGAAAAACAGGAAGTACATCACTAGATCTGATCAAAGAATAATCACACAAGTCAAAAATGGGGGCAACACTGTCAGTGCATGTAAAATTCCCGCTCAAAGCCCTAATCAAATATAGATCCATTTGGAGGATCTAACAAAAGTCCTTCCCTCGAGACATATGACTATTCCTCCAGTCTCCAAACTTAAGACTGCTGTCACTAATCTTCCTTCATAAATCCTCTTTTTCTTTTACTGTATTTTCCGGCGTATAAGTCGCAGTTTTTTTTGTTGCATAAATTAGCATGCTTGCAACTTATACAATGAAGCAACGTATTAATGTTTTTCCCCATATTTATAACAATTTTTTTGGCTCAGATCTGACGATTTCATTCATTCTGGCATGGAAAATATTGAACCCTACCGTTTTCAGCCACTAGAGGGCCCTCGACCAATATGGCAAGCAAAGTGCCTCATTATTTGGTAAAAATGGCTGTTAATGAGATGCTTGGCTTGCCATACCAAGCCACCTTTGTCTCGCTCTGGAACTCCAGGAGCAAATGTCAAATCAGCTTCATTTCGCTGTGCCACCCAGGTGAAATGCAGCTGATTTGACCATCAAAGTGCATTTATTAAGGAAACGTTCAACTGAGACACAGCTTTGCTATAATTTTGAGCAAACAAATAATTGTTTTTAAGTGCTAATCTCGTTAAATTCTTGTTAAAGTCCTTCCGTGCATGCTCCCGCAGCCGCCATTTGGCAGCCTATAAATCTTTGGCACAACGCCGGCCCACATTTCCGTGTTGTCAGCGGTGACGCATAATAGATGCGACTTATACAGTGAAGCGGCGTGTATGGCAGAAAATACAGTATTGTGAACAGAAAGGCCTTCACACTAAGAAGGGAACATGAGAATAAATGTATAAAATGGGTTTTCAGCTGAACTGGAACGTTACATTTGATGTTCGCAATAAACCTGCTAATATATTTGTCTTTAAATCAAAGAGTTCACTGACAAGAAAAGCAACATGGTTAGCATGCTGCTCAGCTGCCAGTCTTTTTGTTTACCACATGCTGCTCGTTAAATGTGATCATTTTGAAGGAAAGTTTTACTTTGGTCCGAAACAAAAATCGTAAAAGAGAAATAGGTTTGCACGAGTCCAAAAATGTTAGCATTCATCCTTGAAAGGAAAATATCTACTACAAACTGATATCTATAAGGTTTCCATGAATAAAATGTTAAAATCACAAGTTTCTGAACACTAAATTAACTTTAGGAGAAAGACAGAAGGACAGAGTCAGCAGACACTGGCAACATGGAGAGCTGGCACTGGATTTTTCTAATATCTCAGTCAATCAGCAACAAAAACTGTAACTTGTGTAAACCTGCTAACACAAAGAGAAACATTTAAAAAACACTTTTTAGACAAAAACGCTTCCATAATATTCAGCATTTTTGCATACACTCACCATCCATCTTATTAGGTGCACCTAATATTTGCTTGTAAATACAAAAAGCTAATCAGCCAATCACATGGCAGCAACTAAATGCATTGAGGCATCTGGACGTGGTGAAGGTAACTTGATGAAGTTACCGCTGAGCGCTAAGCGAGAGGATTCAGGTGGCTTTGAACGTGATGTGGTCATTGGTGTCAGAAAAGCATGTTTGATATTTCAGAAACTGATGATCTTTCATGCATAAACATCTATAGTGTTTACAGAGACCAGGCGATCTGTTTTGAGTCTCTTATTTTGGTGAGCCTGTGCAGATTGTAGCCTCAATTTCCTCTCATACTCACAGAAAGCTACTAGGTCAGCTAAATTCGGTGGGGCAAGACCATTAAGAGCTTTAAAAGTAAACAATAAGAGCTTAAAGATGGCATTCTGCACACTCTGGGTGTAACAAGTAATCTGAGCTACTGTTGCTTTGAACCATTCTACTAGAGCTGTCATTTCTAACCCGGCCCAGCCTGACCCAGATTCGGACCGGGCCATAATAAAGTGCTTGGTGTGCGGGCCGGTCTCAGGCTTTGATGGAGTTTTACGAATCATACAGCACAAATAAAACTAAATAAGTATGCACAATATAAAATTGTGTTAATCGACTTGCTGAGGAAGAGGAGGCAGGTCCGACCGGCCGGTTTAAAGAGGTAAAAAAAAAGTTGCATTAAGCGCAGATGGACAAACTGTCACTGACCGTGCATGTCCGCTGACCCGCCGGTTGAAATGGACTCGTGACCTGTCCAGGGTGTACCCCACCTTTCGTACAGTGATGGCTGGACATGGGCACCAGCGACCCCCGCGACCCGAAAAGGAAGAAGCGGGTAAAGATAATGGATGGATGGATTTGCTGATCACCTGCCGCGCGCGTCCCCGCACCTGCCGTCATCTGCGGTGAAGGAAGTAGCAGCATCTACAAAAGCCAAAGCGAGCAGCGCGTTCAATTAAAATAGCCTTGTGCTAGATTTTTCTAAATAATTTTGCTCTAAAAATATTTTTGTTCATCTGTATAATAAACGATCTTTAGAGTTGATTTTTTAGGCTATTTGTTTTGTGTTAATATCCATTTGGTGAAACAAGAAATCTTTTATCTTACTTTCTTTGAAATATGTTTTTAAAATGTTATGTCAAACAGATTTGCTTACAAAAGCAGTAAACGCTTAATAAAACAATGTTTGTTTTTCAGGTTCGGGCATGTAATTCCAGTTAATTTGATCGAGTCGGGTTCGGAAAAAATGGGTACGGACTGGGTCTGATTTTTGTAGGCCCGAATGAAACTCTCCATTCTACCCATTCTCCTCCGACATCAACAGAACAGTTTCATCCACACAATTGCTGCTAACTAAAATGTTCTCTTTTGTGGACCATTCTCTGTAAACCCTAGACATGCGTGTGAAAATCCAACAGTTTTTAAAGCATTTAGACCAATAAACATTCAAAGCCACTTAAAGCCCCTTTCTTACCCATTGGTGCAAGTTGTTTTCACCACGTCTAGATGCCTAAACACATTATGTGCATGGCTCATTAGCCATTTGTGTTCACAAGCAGTTGAACAGGTGAACCTAATAAAGTGGCTAGTGAGTGTATATTTAGGTTATGATCAGCAATTAGTCCTTACAAGAAAACGACGTACAGACATTTTGTTTTTAATTGGTTTCAACATGAGAAACACATGGGGACACAATGTGATTTGCCTGAACGTTAGCAAATACAGAGCAAACTTTAACACAGCACATGTGTATTATACAAAAATACAAACATTCAGCCAGCCACTAGTTCAGGGAGCAATCAAAAGCCATGCAGAGTATTGAGCGTTAAGTTTACAGGACAGACTTGCTTTAGTTAAGACACACTTTCACTTTGTTCCGAGTAGAAACTCCTGCTTTTAGATTCTGCCAGAAATCTTTAACCACCCACACGCCTCTCAACTGGCAAGCTCGGTGAGTTTTGAAGCCGTCGGGCTAAAGTGATGCTTTTAAAACTGTCCCATACGTTTTAATTATTAGATCCGATTTAAAAAAGTGCATCAATTACATAAAGTGTTATGAGTGTTTCAAAATCAATATCTGTGCTTCTGAGTGCCGATTGTTCCAATTCTTCCACCAACATATGAATTAAAGTGAGAAAAAAAAACTAAAGACATAACACCCACACAAAGTAGAAACAACGATTATTTGGCGAGCAGTGGAATACTTACCATCATGGCTGAAACAGAAGCTGGTCATTGAAACATACTTACTATGTCCTACAAACATCTGCACTGCACTTTATGCACCATGCCATGTCAGCCACCTAGCATGAGCATGCTGGTACCTCTAGGAACTGGTAAGTCCATACTGTGACTGGGCATCACATCTGCTCAGTACAACACAATAGCAATAACAGCAGACAAGACAGGAATAAAGAAGTCTCCATCTAGATCAAGACCTGCTCTGCGTTCTACAACCTGTTGGTAGTTTTTGCATGAAGAGGGATGACGCAACCCAACATGGTTCTCTGGTAGTTTTTGCATGTAGGATTCGAAGAGGGGCTGCTCACGTTAGAGTCAGCGAAGGACAAACACACACACATAATATGTATATATTAGAAGAAAACAAAAAAGAAAGCCACGACAAATTGGAAGCAAATAAGAAATAAAAGACACGGATAAAAAAAGCATGCACCTAGTATTTGATTGAGAGTTAAAACACACAAAAGACAAGAACAAGCTGCTAATAAATACATCATTAATGTCTGATCAAGGCGTTTGGAACTGACTGACTAATAACGAAAACACATCAACACAACCATGAATTTAACTTAATTTGCACTCCAGTGATACCACTTTTAACTGAACGCCACCATTAGGCCGCGTTTTCTTTTGTGACTTTTGGTTGTATTTGAACAGGAACACTGAAACATAAATACACTTAACAGATTAACTAAATAAACCTCAACAACATGAGACAATCTGACTGGATGCAAAACTAACTGAAATTAAAATAACATCAGGCCTGTCGCGATAAACAATGAATCAATTAATCGCATGATGAATGAAAATTATCGACCTCATTTTCATTTATCGGCTTTATTGTTTCTTCGTGTCTCTCTTTTTCTGAAGACACTGGATGATAAAAGGTTCAACTCCGGTGCTCTTCACTGACCCCTCGCGTTCTCTTTAAAATCTATTTTAACCGTCCGAAAATCGCGTTTTTGGATCGTTAAAAGCAGCTAAGCTGAGAAGCTAAGCTATGAGCTAAGCTAACGGGCCGACCTCTGGAAAAAAACCTCCGTCTTGTCGAAGCTCCAAAATTCACAGTTGAAACTCGTGCCTTTTGTGCAAAAAGTTGTTTTTCTCTGCAAAAAGAAGCTGAACACTTGTTTACTCACTTTTTATTAAAAGCTCTGTGTGAAAAATGCTAAAGAGCTCAAACCACACTGAGCGTCCACCATTTTGAGAACCGAAGAAACAGCCCATGTCACGTCAAGGGGCCTCCCTCACATTTTTCTTAAAGAGACACGCTGCTCGCTCCCTCACTATCCATCCTTCGGTTCAAACCATCGTATACTCCCATCCAGTGGTCAAAAAAAGGTACTACACACAAAATTAACCAAAATTTATTCTTAAATTTGACAATAATTATTGTCAAATTTCAAACAATATTATCGTTTATCGCAATAATTTCTGAGACAATTGCCCAGCAAAATTTGTTATCGTGACAGGCCTATATAGCACCAAAGATAAGCCGATTGTAGTGCATTCATTTCACTGTGGTTGAAAAAGTTGTATCTGTTATTGTTGACTACAATTAAAACTGAGATTTTATGTGATCTTGAGATGTAGTCATGACGAAACAGTCATGAGTGTCCAGCAACAGTATGGCCTGCTTATATTCTTCACCTCAGAGTTTGAAACTGCTCCGTTTCTACAAATACTATGAATGGCAAAAGCTTTCGCCTCTGTTGGTAATCTTTGCTTTATAATCTGGAATTTGTTTTGACTTCTAATTTGATTAAAAGCAACAAGTCTCCAAAAATATTTCAGAGTAATCAAGTTAAATGAAAGAGACTGTAAAACTTGTATTTCAGGGAGAAGTAGGAGGCAGAACCAGACTCTGGTGCAAAAGAGAAAAATGACTGTAGATAAGCAAGTGAGTATTGAAGTAAAAAAAAAAAAAAAAAAGTTTGTTTGCATGCAGGAACCCTGCCTTCAGAGCTATACGCATGCACACAGTGGTTACAGTTCAGCCTGCAGCTGTGCTCAGCTCAGAGAAGTTCAGCCGACATCAGATGTGTGCGCCAATCAAAGGGGGTCAGTAAAACAAACAGAAAGCACAGAAACTGTAAGGGCAAGGTGAGAGGGGAGGGAAAGGGTCATCAGCCATTACCATCACGGAGCATTCCATGCAAAAATTACCGTTCGTTTCTTGTTTTTATGCAACAGATCCTGTCGACCCAGAGGGTAACAGATTGAACCAAGAGTGAACAGCGCTGTCCATAAACGCTCGACAGGCTCGACTACGGCCGCACTGAGACAAGAGCAAACTGCATTTTGTAAATCCAGGATCTTTTGGAAAACATTCGTTCCTGTTGTGTTGGCATTTGCCACCTGTTTCACATGATCATGTTTTACATGGGTTCCAAACCATATGGCATCTTACAACGCAAGAAGTGCATCGTTATTGGCTTGTACATTATTCCTGCAATCAATTCATCCATCTATCCATCTATCATCCATCCATTCATCCATTCAACCATCCATCCATCCATCCATTCATTCAACCATCCATCATCCATCCATCTGTCAATCTATCCATTCAACCATCCATCCATTCATTCAACCATCCATCATCCATCCATCCATCTATCCATTCAATCATCCATTCATCCATCTATATATTCATTCAAGCATCCATCATCCATTCAAGCATCCATCATCCATCCATCTTCTCTATCCCCTTGATCATGCTCTGGGTGAGTAGCGTGGTACACCAAGAACAAGGGGCCTGTCCACAGCCTTTCAACAAAATTTGGATCCAACTCTAGTTTTACGTTTCCCAATAGAATGCATTTATTCATTTATATATTTATTTTATTTCTTCTTCTTCTCCCTTCCGCTGGGTTCACCACAGTGAAGTTACTTGCATGAAGACCTGGCAATTGTTTTGACACCAGATGTCATTCCTGACGCAACCAAACCACCGAGCTACCGCAGCCCTGTGTGTGGAGCAGAGAGCTGCCATCTAGGGCGCCCAGAGGAGCAGAAGGTGAGATTTAAAGGCCTTGCTCAAGGGCCCAGAGTGGGGCAAATGAGGGTAGAGGCAGGTGTGGGTGCTTTATCAACTTTTTCACCCACTTTTTATGTTGGCGATCCAGGGGGTCGAACCGGCGACCTTCTGATCCCAAGCTCACCTTCTCTAACCTCTGCGCCACCACCCAATTTCCCAATAGAACATTTATCTTAAAGCCAAACAAAACTGAACGTACTGTCTCGGACAGGCAAACATACAGCAATCAATAGCTCTTGCCTTCTGGTAAAACAGCATTCCCCTAAAGCATCCGTACTAAAACCAATCAATGAAGTGAAATTAATCATCAATAGGGTTTCTTTGGCATATATACCCAAAGTACATTACCTCTATCCTGATTTTATCTTGCATGTTTTCATGGAACTTGTAATATAGAAAACTCATAGGGACTTTTATAGACGATCTACAGAATCTAAATGGGTTAAAACAATGAAAGAGGACTAAGCTGTTCACCCTTGGTTGTATCCTTCCCATCTTGCCTGCACGTTCTGCTATTGGACAATAGGGCACTCACCAGTACATAGTAGTAAGCATACAGTGCTGCCAGATGATGAACTACAAAAAACTTGTCTCCTATTGCCCTCCAATAGTAAAATATAAGCAGCAGATCTGGAAAACAGACACACAGGATAAAAGAAGAAAACATTGTTGTGATGTTTTTAAAGTTTCTACAGCTTTAACTGATTAAAAATATACAGGTACACCTACAATTTTATATTATTTCTAGAAAATATTAGCTAGCACTACCTGGTTAAACTGTTCGTCTTACCAGATATGAGGTAGCCTGTTGTGATTGCAACATTCGTCTTCACCAGTGTAGGATCGCCCCTATTAAAAAATAAAAACATAATTAAAATTTGTTGGCAAGGATAACTAGATTTAATACACCCAATAAAAGGAGAAAATTGTTTTAAATACCACCTAAAAGTTATGTAAATTGTACTAAGTACAAACCGTTTTAAGCAAGTTTGTCTAAGAAACTAGCATTTAGCAGCTGAAGCTAGCTTGCCAGAAGATGCTACGACAGCTAGATTAAAAGAACAAAACATAAAAGCTTGTTTTTAAGGAAGACCTGATAAAAAAGGGTCTGAAATATAATCTGCATGGTCATATTTGTACTAAAAATGAATAAATAAAACTAAAATTAGGGACACATGTACAGCTGTCAGTAACCTCAGGACGTGTTCTGGACACAAGATAAAGAGATAATTGGAAGGTGCTGATAAAATGATAAGGTATCTTGCTATCTAAATTTGTAAGATAGCTTATCATCTCTAGATTTACAGTTTATTGGCCTAAACTAAACATGAACACCTCATACGGTACATCAGACGCCCGTCGACAAACTACTATTCAGCAATAGAGCGATCTAGAGCAACGGCTCGGGCATGGAAAGACCTCGTAAAGCATGTTGACCTTGATTTGTGACCTTGGCGCTGGGGTGATGAAAAGATTACGCAACACGGTGTCAAGTGGTACAAATGTGTATCAAGTTTCATTACATTATCTTGAGCAGATAAGAAGTTATGGCCCGGAGAAGAGAAAGTTTATAGACGGAGACTCCGCCATTGTCCGTCTTTCGAGAGGCGTGAAACAAAAATTAATTTTAAATTTACTTCCAACACAAACTAAGAACATTATGCTTCTCTTTTACATTGAAACAGAACGTCTAAATACCGGCTAACATTAGGGGGGTTGACAGATGTTTCTCTAATTTTGGCAGTTGCTCCTGACATCTAATGAACAATAAACTGGGTACCATGATACTATTCGATGCTGTAAAAATGCTGAGTGTGCTGAATTCTTATAATAAATTAAAAAACTGTGTTAGAAAATAAATGAAACAGAGTCTGAACGGGGTTTTTTTTTTTCTCTGCTTTGCAAGTAATGATCACAAATCCATTTATGTGCGAACGATACAACGTGCCTGACTTTTACAAAAAAGCTTAAGAGCAGACGCCAACAACCATTTTTTGTGAAAGGGCCATGAAGTTATGCACTTCAATGAGGATTTATTGAGACAGTTCCACCCAAGTCTGAATTACAACTCAGAAAGTGTACCCTAGCCTCAACGTCTGCATGCCTTGAGCATGGAAAGTGGTGATAGCTGCAGAAACAAACTTTTTATTGTCACTTCTGTTGGTTTAAATGAGCTGCACACTGTTGGATTTCATATTTTTATACCTTTTTTATATTTCCTATCAAGCATTCAAATGTCATGTTATACAAAGTGTGTGTGTGTCTTTCTTCCAGGGTTGCACTATATTTATAGAAGATGTTTGCTAATTCTAACTAGTTGACCTTTAAATATAATCTCACATTAGCTAAGGATAATTTTACAAGTTCACATTTGATATATTACAAGCAATCAAATCATGCCAGATAGCAGACTGATTAACATAAATAAAGCTAGAACACATTTCTTTAATTTAGACAATATAGTTTGACTAAATAAGATCCCTCAGGATCTCTCTTAATAATAACCATTAACATTTAATCATTGTTGAATACAGGGTCGGTTTAGCTGAGAGGACACAGCGTTAATTGTCACAGTAAGCTACAACAGCAAAAGTATAAAAAGGATCAAGTAAGAACACGCAAACATGAGTTAGATAACAATTAATAGTTATTAATTATTCCTAGAAATAAACAACTTTAACTCAAATCATTTGGTATCACGAAGGTATAATCACGTTAAACAAACAGCTAAAACGAACGATTTCAGTGAGGCAAAACTTCTTATCTGAAATGTAGATATTAACGTCCTTGAGGGGGCGGGCTAGAGTCGTAACCCTAGCAACAGAAGCTAAACCAATCAGAAAGCTAGCCTCCTCAAACTGTGATGAAAGGCCGGAAATGACACACGCCCACCGAGCATTTCCGGGAGGCGCACACCAAGACGGTTCGTTCTTTAATGCTCCAAAATATATGCATATATTTTAATAATGTAATTGTTTGTCTCTGAATATCTGTAACCCATGTTTTATCAAATAAATCTTTTATACCGAGGGCGACGTCTCAGCTGTTTTGAACACGACGTGGTAGCCAGCCACGACAACACTCAGCACTGTACTACCTTTGATAGGAAACGTTGCTACAAAGCAAAAAGATGCATTGTTATTGGCTTGGATTGTTTGTAATAGTTATTATTATTAACCACACTACTTAACATATCCTATTGATTTTCAGGTTTGCATCTGGAGCACAGTTAAGTTGGTGTGATATTATTCCCACATCCATAATCTGACTTCTGAGACAAATAAAAGAGCACAATCAGCTCATGCCTAACGTTACCTTCTTACCCAGAAACCCTTTTCACGGCTACATTAAGGTCCAAGCCTAAAAAAATTGTGATTTTGTTTTTTCATCCGTTACAATCTGCTCAAATAGCCAAAAAAAAAGTTGGCATTTGCAGTGAAATTAAAGGCTTTTAAAGACAAGAACATAAGATCGACAGCAGAACCCTCACCAGACTGGGTCTTCGTTGACGGCATCGTCGAAGAACAAGATGTAGAGACAAAATATTCCGACCAAGAGTGCGTGGAACGTGGACACGGTCCTGGAAATTAAAAACCACAACACACACACGACCATGATTATCTCCTCCCTGACAAAGAAAGAACCAGATCAGTTATAGACGTCTCAAAGAAACAGAGTATTTATATTTCCTCGTTAAATGTGCCGTGGAGCTGCTCTGAGCGGAACTTCTCGTATTTGCAGTGGCTATAAAGAAAGCCTGTCACGATTGCACAGATTCAGACCAATTAGACTGAAATTAAACACTGCTGAAGGGTCAAGAAGAGCGGCGCAAAGTCCCAGTCAGTCATTCACACAGCGAGCCAGTCCGGCAGTCCTCAGCAGTCACTCCGTGAGACAGAAAGTCAGCAGCACCGACTGTTTAAACAGACGGACTCAGGATCCCCAGAGCCCGCATCCATGTGACTGTTTTAATTGTAAAAACAGCTCTCAAATATGAGAAAGAAAATGAGAGCTGCCGCACATTAACGGCTCTGAACGCTGTTTTGTGGCAGCTTTTGTTCAGAACACAAACCCAAATTATCCAAGCAGGAAGTGTGATGTTCCTATGACTCATTATCAAAACCAGATAAACACATTTTGTCCAGTTTTATGTGACAAACATGATCAGATTGTTAAAAAACTTTATTTTAGATGAGATAAAAGATAAAAATGTGCACTCTATAGGCCTGTCACGATAACACATTTTGCTGGGCGATTAATTGTCTCGGAAATTATTGCGATAAACGATAATATTGTTTGAAATTTGACAATAATTAATAATTATTGTCAAATTTAAGAAATGTTTGTTAATTTGTTTTGCATGTAGTATTGTACAGTGAGGGAGCGAGCAGCGTGTCTTCAGAAAAAATGGGAGGGAGGCCCTTTGATGTGACATGGGCTGTCTCTCTTCGGTTCAAATGGCGGACGCTTGGTGTGGTTCTTTAGCATAGCATTTTTTACACAAAGCTTTTAATAAATAAAAAAAATCAGTAAACAAGTTCTCAGCTTCTTTTTGCAGAGTAAAACAACTTTTTACACGAAGGCACGAGCTTCAATCGTGAATTTTGGAGCTTCGACAAGACGGAGGTTTTTCCCCCCCCCCGAGGTCAGCCTGTTAGCTTAGCTGCTTTTAACGATCCAAAAACGAAAATTTGGACGATTAAAATGGATTTTAAAGAGAAAATAGAAAGGGAGGGGTCAGCGAAGAGCACCGGAGTTGAGCCTTTTTGTCATCCAGTGACTTCAGAAAGTGAGACATGAAGAAACGACAAAGTTGACAAATGAAATTTAGGTCGATCATTTTCATTTATCATGCGATTTATTGTTTATCGCGACAGGCCTAGTACTCTACATGAATAACTGGTATGAAAAGGAGACTAGAAAACATTCTGTTCGTTTAAAAAGCACAAGAAAACGAGTATTTTGCATTAAAATGTCAACGTTCTTTAGAACTTAAAAAGCTGAATATGTCAGTACATATCTGGATCCAGTGAACGTGTACCTCCAAAGCCAAAAACAAGCTTTACAAAATGTGAATATGCTCACCTCGAGTTCCACTCCACCTTCTGCTTGTCACTAAGGCCCGAGAAGCCTGTGCTGACCCGCAGGGACATCCAGGGGCTGACTCTGTGGAAGAGCCACTGGAAGGTGAAGAAGCTCGTCACCGAAATGGTGAGGATAATCTGGCTGAATGGGTCCATGGCCACCCAACCCCACTGTGGGGAGGACAGAGAGAAAAGGGTCAATGTTGAAAGCAGCAGAAATAAATCATCAGTATCAAATTCCAAACAACTTATTGTTGCCCCAAACTGTTGTATATGTACTGAAATTACATTTAATTAAGATAAAAACAACACACGAGCAAGAATAAAATTGATATAAAATGGCAACAAATAGTTAAAATAATGTGTGAATGTTTGCACATACATAGACAATTGAGCCTTTCGCTAAAGAAAAGAAAACAACAATCACTGAACTTAAAAAGTTGCACAAGTAATAACAAAAACTAAAATCATCTAGAGAAACTACATTTTCTGAATGCTTATTACAGAAGAACTTGCTGAAAAACAGCTGAAATAAGCTAAAGAAAATCTGAAATGTAGCTGAAATGGAAGAACAAGCCTAATTTAGCAGAAGAAAGCAGAAAGGACACATTTGCTGAATTAGGTTTAAATGAACAGAAGTGACAATAAAAAATTGGAAATTAGCTAAAAAAATAGCTGAAAGGCAGAAAGAAGCTTAAACTACCAAGAGGAAGCAGAAAGAGCTAAAGAAGCTAAAAAAGTGTAATTGCCTGAAAAAGCTAGCAACAGCATCAAAGAGCTAAACAGTAGCTGAAACAGCAGAACAAGCTGAAACTAGAAGAACAAAGCTGAAAGGAGCATAACAAGCTGAAATGAGCAGAAATAAGTTAGAAAAAGCACAGAAATGTTGTAGTTAGATGAAAGAGTCTGAAAGGGGTGAAAAACAGCTGAAATGAGCTGAAAGTAGCTGAATTTTTTTTAGATCTGCACAAAGACGCTGAAAGAATCTGAAGCAGAACAAAATGTGAAAGGAGCAGTAAAAGATTGTAAACAGATCTAAAGATTTGAAGGATGGAAAAATGAGATCAATTCTTTTTATATGGAGGAAAAAAGGCTAAATATTTCAAAAAGCTAAAGTTGCACCAGCATCTAAAGTCATAGCAGGATTGTCCTGAACGAGCTGAACATTTTGATATGATTTGTTGAAATAGCACAAAAATTGTGGAACAAGAAAGATGCTGAAAAACATACGGAAGAAAAATGGATCGCAATAGTGAGAATGCTTCATAAACATTCACACAATTAATTAAAATTGAATTTTCGTTTTGAATTATGGCTTAAAATAATTATTTAAAAAAAAATCAAACAACTAAATCTGGGCCTGACAGAAAAGCTGTGAGAAAAACTGACCTTAGTGCTCTGACTAGAGCGTGACGGTGCAATAAATCTCTACCATTTAGTCAAAGGGCATTTCCTTTAAGCATTTTATAAACCAGTAATAAAATCTTGAACTGGATCCTGAAAATGACAGGAGCCCAGTGTGGAAAGGCCAAAACTGGGATAAAGTGGTTGCAGCGAGTGACTGAACTCGAAGTACAAGAGGTTGCAGCAGATAAATGCATGGATCATTAGTTCTAATTCACTTCAAGCAAGATAGGGCTTATTCATCGTAAGAGTCCTCACGTGGGACAATTTAGTTTTATCTGTTTGCTTTAAAGAATTGTCAATAATTACTCCAAGATTTCTGACATAATGGCTGAATGTCGTCTGCTCCACTGCATACGTGGTTTTAAACAAAAATACAGAAAAGTTAAACATTAACTCAAGAAGGTGGCTTTTCGTCTCCTCAGACTTTGAATCGTTTAGTTGAAAGCAGCGTATGACTCACGGCTTTACATCCTAAAGCTGCAGAAAATGTTACGCAACAACATGATTGAGTCAGTTTCCACAGCTGAGTGAGAGCACGGCACGGCAGAGTCCATCTTCGAACAAAGAGTGGGCACCTTCACTGACCTCCTTTCAGACCACAATCAATATCGCTCTGCTAATCACAGCTATGGGAACACACTGTGCCCAATAATAAATAAAGATAATGATATGCGTATGAGATAGGAAGACTTCAAAATTACAAACACCGAGTACTTCAAGAGTTTATTTGAAATTCAACCTTCAATTTCTGGAACGGTGCATAAAAATCCACCGTTCAGGGTGATTATTTTGGAGATAGCCTCAAGCTTTCTGTCTCAGATTCCTATCTGCCAATAACCAGCATCAGCGTTTCTGCACTTGAACGTATTCAATTGAAAAATACTTTATTAATCCCAAAGAGAAATTAAACGTTGTTGTAACTCGTTATCCTCGTTTCATTGAGACATGTTATAGATGCTGATGGCTGTAGGCAGGAGGGATCTCTTGTAAAGGTCCGTCCCACAGCAGATCCGAAGAAAATGGCCGCAGATGCCGTCCGATCCATCTACTCAGACTCGGTTGGTCTCTCGGTTCCTCCGAGCTGCAGGATCGCCCGAATGCTGGGCAGAACTCCTCCCGGTAGACTGCCGAGCTTCACGTCGCTGCGGACAGACGGCTGCAGGTGCCGGAGGATGATCCCATCCTTCTGCTGTCACGAGCCTCGTTTACTGCCATTTCCAGGATCTCATTGGTCAGGCACTCGAGCACAGGTAGACGAGAATGCATCCACGGCGCCTCCTTTTCAACTCATTTGAGATTTGCGGCTGTAGTTAAGATGTTGAGCTTTTGAGATGTTAATCAGCTGCTCCTGGTTGTTAAAAAAAAAACACCTTATTGTCATGGTTATTCATCATAAACATCCAAAAGTAAAAAAAGAAAAGTTTTAGTAAAAATCCTTCCAGCGGCACAGCAGCTAATACCAGAGGAAACAATCATCCAAAAAAATGTGATTTACATCCAGTAAAAGACGAATTAAGGTTTACAAAAGCAAAATCTCAGAATGAAAGTAGCAGAGCTGCTCCAACATGCAGACACCCCGAGCGGCGCAATTCCGATGCCGTATCATGAGTCATGAACTCACTCACACGTGGCTTGTGCACAGCATGTCACCAAAATGTTCTCACAGCCACAGATGGAGCTGCTGGTGGGTCCGCTCCTCCTGAATCTGGCCTCGGTCGCTGTCAGACGCTGTGAATGTCACTGACTCACTATCGGACGCTCGCCTTATGAGTGATCTGCTCAGCCGGGACATGTCTCGAAGGCGAGGCACGCAGGTTTCAAATTTAGCCGGCTTTTATATTTGACTTGCTGCTGTGTGTTTGCTGCACACCAGCAAAGAGAAACTGAGAAATGTTGCTGTGTGGAACAGGTTGGACCACGTATCACTTGTCACAAACTGTACAGTAAATCCAGGGATGGCTGAACTAGAATATCAACCTGAGCGAATATTTCTCTAGCTTTGGATTTTTGGCAAGAGCACTTATGCATTACTGCAAAACATTTAAAAAGAGTTTAAATTTGCATCTAAATGAAAACTTTACAAAGAACAAAGGAGATTTCAGTTCATCCTGAGGGGAGGATGTGAATTTGTCTATAAAATAAAGCAATCCATTTGAGTTATGCACATATTTGTCTAAACCTCATTGTGGGGGCGGCACAAGAAGAAAACACCGCCAGGGGATCACCAAACTCTGCGCACAAATGAGGTTTTGACCTGATTGTGTTGCTGGTGGAAAACCCAGAAGAAAATCAATCCACTCAGAGAGAGATGCAGTCGTCTGTTCAGAATGTCAAAATGCGATGGAGATTTGTGTTGTTGTGGAGCTAAACCAGTGCAGCCTTGTGAAATGGGCACAAACGATAGCTGTGTGCTCCTTAAAAGAAACTGAACCAAATGTTGAGACTTGTAACAGATTGCAAAAGCATAAAGGAGAATCCTCTGCAGAGACTCTCGTATAGAAATTGAGTGGTTTTCACAGACAAGTCCACAGAGGCTACGGACCTGTTTTATTTATTTTATCTTCATCTAAGCCAGGTCAGACAGGTTAAAGTATTAAAAAAAACTGACCAATTCAAAAGGAATTCTTTTCAAACTTCTGTATTTACAGTCAATAGTCAGAATTTCTTTGTCATACGCAACACATGTGGTACATGTGGTGGGACGAAACTGTGCACACAGGGTCCCAGTTACATCCAACAAAAGTATCAAATGTAAAAGAAAAACCGTAATAAGATCTAAAATGTGAACTAAGAAAAGCGTTTAACAAAAAATACGCTAAGCACCGATAGCATAAAACAATACGCCGAACAGCAGCACGAACATGAGTCTGTGTGAGCAGATGAGCACGAATGAACACAGCATGAAATAAATCGGCAGCATGATGTGATTTTTCACAGAGATTAGAGATTCATGAGTCTAACAGCCTCAGGGTAGTGGTTCTACACTTAATGCTCCTCAACCTGTTGCCTGAGGGGAGCAGGGCAAAACATGTGTGTGCTGGATGAGTGGGGTCCTTCATGATGCAAGTGGCCCTCTTCCTGCATCTGGAGGTGTAGATGTCTGTGACGGTGGGGAGACTGTTAGTGACATGTTTTAAGAAACCATGCAGGGTCATTTACCCCAGAGATAACTGAGTGACCTATCTCCTGACATGCTTTACTGAGAGGGTTGATTTATGTACCACACATGCATGTTTGGGGCCCACAAAGTGCAGCACGGGATCCTGTTGCCAAGAGTAAATGGTGACAACGGTTGGTCACGAGGAGAGAAAACTGCTGAACCTGGAGAATAATTACAACAAGGGACTTAATGGGTGATATGATGTGAAAATCTTAACCAATATCTGCTGAACTTGTTTTTTTTAAGGTAATTGTAAAACATATAAATGTGTGTCTACCTTAAATAAGGAAAACTTAAACAAATATGAATTATCGCAAGGGTGGATTTAGAAAAGCTTGGTTTAAATGTTCAAATAAATAAATCTTATTCATGTATCACTAATGAATATGGCTGATTTTTATTCAGGCATGTCGTTTGGATACAATTTATCACTCACTGCTGAAGACGTAGGCCGAGCAACGTTTTCGCCCGTGTCCATCTGTACCGTGAGCAAACTATCTACTGAAAACATTCAACTGATTTTTTTGTGGAACTTTGAGAAAGTAATCAGTGGGTTACCCTACAGCAGCGGTTCCCAACCCTGGTCCTTGAGGAACGCCATCCTGCATGTTTGAGTTGTTTCCCTGCTCCAACATACTTGAGTCAGTGATTTTAGTTCTTCTTGAAGTTCTGCCAAAGCCTGTTAAGCGCCCATTCATTAAAATCAGGTGTATCAAAGCAGGGAAACAACTAAAACATGCAGGATGGTGTTCCTCAAGGACCAGGGTTGGGAACTACTGTCCTACAAGACAATGACTATAATTCAGTGAACTGAGCAGATATTCAAATTTTAAAAATTGGCCTTGCAGCAGCTAGTCATTCACAAAACATACTCCAAGTGCTAACAGATCACAAGATATCTCAATATTGCATGGCATTGCACGTGGAGGTTATGCTCAGGGTTTGACTAAAAAGGGCTACAAATCTGTTGTTTCTCAATATAAAATGATTTTAGTCTAAAACCAGTGTCGTGATGTTCTTAAGTTTTACCTTATCTACTGTGAAGAAAATTAATCTCCTCAGGACATCTATATATATATATATATATATATATATATATATATATTTACTTTCTGCTCTATCATATTCAATATCAAAAGCACATTTATGCTTATTTTTATGTATAAAACATACAAAGGATACATGTATGTTTAATTTAAAGGAGCTCCATGCAAAGTATGATCATAAAAAAAGTTACCCTTATCTATATTAAAAGGTGCAGTTTCATAGACTCCGACTCCAGTAGCTTTCCAGATTTATTAATATGCAATTCTGAGATGCAGGTACAAGGGTTGCCAGATAGGAAATGATTACATTTTGTACAATTACTTTATCATATGTGCTCAGTGTGGGTGCACTTTGTCACTCAGCTAGGGTAAAGGTAAAGTGTGTGACTGGTCAGACGTTCTGATGATATTTGGGTGTTCACGAGAATAATAATGGGAGTGCCAATTACATACTTAAAGTATGGACCCTAAAACTATTGTATAAACACGTACCATACATCTGGCAACCCTGGTGGGTACGCACTCAATGTAATAAAAAAAAAAAAAAAAAAAAAAGTGACAGCTTGAGTCACATGACTAACATATATAATGTGATATGATGTTGGTAAACAAACATGGCCGGTAAGTTCCATCACTTTGGCTGTTTCTGTTTTTAAAAAAAAATTAAAATAAATATGGGAGCAGGGTGGGGGGGTTGGGGTTCAGAACTTTGCAACCTTTAAAATAAAGAGCAGTGTGCTCCATATTTTCTAATACATGAAGTACATGTATGTATATTTACTGGACCTGGCTGATTTTTGTTCAGGCATGTTGTTTAGACAGCCCCTTCTCCTGATAGATGGAGCATATGTGATTGCGTAACAGGGTCTCCTCAGGAGGAAACGAGAGCTGAACGAAAATAGCCTGAGGTGGAACACGGTAGATGAGACTGAAACGTGCTTTTCACACAGATCCTGGAAATATTCAATAAAGAATTTGGCGTTAAAAACAATTAAATTTAAAAAAAAAAAAAAGGCAGCAACAGCGCCAGTTCACGCCGCATTGCTCCTCCAGATGTTGTTCTCTCTCGGCGTGTGTGTGTGATGGGCTGATCGTGTCGGGGTGTGTGTGTATCATCAACACAAAAGCACAGATTAAACATGAAGAACTGCGTTTTGACTCACCTTGTGACTCTCATCCAGATGAGTCACTGGCGTCTCGCTCTCACAAGTGCGTTATGGTGTCCGGGGTCGCTTGTAAAACCGAGTAATCAAAGCCACAGCCATGATGATGATTATGTGGATTCATTATTACTATTAAAAATAATAAAACAAAAAGGCGGCTCTCCTCCTCTCCCCCTTGTTTGCTCTGCAGACACGACAGCCGGTGGTGGACCCGAAGGACGGGTGCGGATCGGAGCTCGTGGCAGTTTCTTCAGCTGTGTTTACCGAGGAGTCGGAGCAGAGCTGCAGCGGGCCGATCGAGCAGCTCGACGATCGATTACCAGGCGAGACGAAGGGGTGCGTGTTGGGGTGGGGGTGTGTGCTCTCTGAACCAAAATTAATTACAATCTCAGTCCTTAAACATACAGATGCAAACAGCAAATAATAAACAAATAAAAGCATAGTCTACTGACAGGCAGAATTAATGGATTGTCGAAACGAGTTTGCCTGCCTGTTATCCATACAAATAAGAAATTTAAATCTTTAATCAGTCAATTATAAATTATACTGTATATAAATTGTATTTTTTTGAGTGGTTAGGCCTTGTCATAAAGTGTATTGCTAGGTCCGTCCTGTTTAAATATTTCATTTTATCAGTAAGCATGAACAGGTGCTTCCTCCCACCAACCTAATGCATGCATGTTGGGTTAATCTGTAACTCTGAAGTCTCTCTAGGTGAGAGAAGGGATGTTTGTCTATTAAATAACCTGTTCCTGGTGTTCCTGCTTCTCACACAGTGACTGCTGGACTGGCGCCGACCCTTGTGCAGCTCAGCGGACCTCAGAGGGAGCTGGGACTCCTGGTTGAGCTCAGAGAGAGCCAAGGCCTCCTCATGGAGGTCAAAGGGTTCAGGGCATCCTTGTGGAGCTCAGAGGGAGCCATGCCTCCTCATGGACCTCAGAGAGCCAGGCCTCCTTATGGAGCTCGGAGAAAGCCAGGCCTCATCGTGGAGCTCAGTGGGAGCCAGACCTCCTTGTGGAGCTTGGAGAAAGCCAGGCCTCATCGTGGAGCTTAGAGGGATCAGGGCCTCCTCGTGGAGCTATGAGAGAGTCGGGCCTCGTGGAGAATGGAGAGTTGGGCCATTGTGAAGCTCAGAGAGCCGAGGCCTCCTCGTAGAACTCACAGAGCAAGACCTCTTTGTGGAGCTCAAAGCTGAGGCCTCCTCATGGAGCTCAGAGAACCGGGTCTCCTCACGGAGCTCAGAGGGAGCACAGCCTCTTCGTGAAACCTGTTTGCCTCAGTTGTGCTCCACTCGTGTATGAATGTGATCTAAAGCTCTTGAGGGCACAGATTGTGCTGTGAAGCACGATGAGTAGAACGTTGGAGTAAAACCTCGATTGTACTTTTAAAATTCAGGTCTCTCTTGTAAATGAGTCCTCGCGGCTCAACGGGATTAATCTGTCTAAATAAAGGTTGAATGAATGAAAAAAATTGTTCTTTTGTCATTTATTTGATGCAGTGTCATGATTTGGCAAACATTTTTCTAAGACAAACAATAAAAAAGGTGCGATATACCATTTATTATTCATATGAAATTACAAAATAAAGATACATGCTTTGATAAAAACTTTAAATAGTGTGATTCTACATAAAAAAAAAAATGCATCATTACATAAACAAAAAACTGATACTTCACTGTAACAACTCCATTAGATGGTTAAAAAATGACCAAGTACTTGTTAAGTCATATTTAAAACAGACAAATGTATGTTTGTTTCTTCTTGTATTAATAAACAAAATAAAAAATAAACCAGATGTGCATCATATATCTTTGAGAAACTTTGGTCAAAATACAAGCAACACAAAAGGCACAACGATTTATTCATTTTTCAGCGAACTTACCATAATGCAGCTATAATGATTATAATGGAATCGTTATTTAAAAAATAAAAACAATTAGTGGTAATTAATATATGCTATGCAATAAAAACTAGTGAATAAAAGCAGCACAATATTCAGATAAAATATAATATATTCAGGATAATAAATGTACCATAAATCCACCTGTTTGACATTTTTTTTAAAGATACCTATCTTTGAACACTATAATCTAAAAAAAGCATAGTATAAACAAATACAAAGTACAAATATATAGATATGTATATATTTTTAGTTCATAATGAATCAGAACTGTCATAATTATTAAAAAAAAACAAAAAAAAACAACAAGTACAGCTTTGAAACAGCGTGCAAATATCACAACTTTGTGTCTAATGCCTTTAGTCATGATAAGAAACAAGCCATTAATTTCAGTCTTTGGTAAAGTTCTTATAAATCCAGCACATTAGATTGTTTTAAAAAAAGACAGCGATAACTCTTAGCTAAAGAAATGTTTGGAGGCCGTTGTGTGAGGTGTGAAGAGAAACATGTAACCGTAGCAACGCAGATAATTGAGGATGTGCATAAATCTTGCACCCCAAACATTTATTAATCATAAGTGTAAATATGATTATGGTACATCAATACACAAGAGTTTAGACCTGAGGAGGCAAGAGAAACATTACAAAATAAAATAAACAAAAGCTTTAAACTTTTCAGGCTAAATAGAAGGCTTTAACATGGAATCAGATAAAGCTTGAAATTTTGTTTTTTCTTCAACATACAGTATTTTTTGGACTATAAGGCGCATTAAACGAAACAAAACAGTCAGATAAGTCAAACTTTATTCAACTCTTTCGCAATAACCACATAAAATAGGTTTGAGATCAGTAAGCACAACCAGAATTAATACATAAGGCTCACTGTTGATTTTTGAGGAAATTAAAAGGATTTCAAGTGCGTCTTATAGTCCGAAAAATACGGTAATTTCTAAAATGATTCTGATCATAGTCTGCTCTTTAAAATTAACAATACAAAGCATAAAATCACATTTTAGAAAGAAGAACATATTAAATGATTAATACGAGAAAAGTTTTAAATTAAAAGCAGAGCTGTGCATTGCAGCACATTTCAGATTTGCTTAATTGTTCTAAAATTGCTAAATTACAAAAAGTGGTGTCAACAGATTCACTTGAGGGAGGCACACAAATGTTTTCCAAGCTTTAAAGTTCTTCTTGAAGGGTTTGTCCCACAAGAGTTTTTTTTAAAAGGCACAAAAAAGGCATTTAAAAGTCTCGAAAATATATTTTTAACTGCGTATCTGAGCCTTGATATTGTCAAAGCAAATACTACATTAATTAGCTTCAATAATTTCATTGTGAAACTTCACTGTCCATGCGCTCCTATTTACATATGACTTTGCTGCTGATGCATTGGAATTTCCTCACTGAGGAATAAATTAGGAGTTTATTCTATTCTAGTGAGAGCGCATAGGGTATGCGGTTACTAAGACAAAACGAGCAGAGGTATTATCCCTGCTGTGTTTCCGTTCATCCACAACAGCAAGAATGCTCAGTTCAGATTCAGATCAGCTCACGTTGTGTACATCCTGAGTGTATTTACATTTACGATCAACACCTACACAAAGGTCCGTTTGTGAGAACAAATCGGACGAATACTGAATGCTAGCTTTCCGTGTGAGTGGGAAAAGTTTTTTCAGATGATTCCACGCGGCTCTGCGAGCTCCTCTCTCACAGCGCAACATATTTTAGCAGAAACTGTCACCGTTGATGCGTCACTACACCATGAACTGGGTGTACCCTTCAGCGCCTGTGACGATCACATCCATCCAGATCCTCATGGCCTCAGGAGAGGGAGCGACCATGTAGTAGACTCGATCGTGAGTCTTCACACTGAATGTTAAGGACGGGTTTGGACTCTGCGGAGGGAGATGGAAGGGTTACCGCAGGACGACGAAAAAAGAATAAAGCAAAAAGAAAAGATAAGACCAAAGATGAATGTGACATTACAATAGAGATTTTCAGGAAATTTTGATGAAAAAGCTAAAACTGAGTTGGTAATAAACAGGTACAAGCTAAAAACAGCCAAACAATAGCTAAAAGTAGCAAAACAGATAATAAAACTCAAACACACTGTGGCTAAAACAAGCAAATATGTGGCCAAAAGTAGCAAAATGGTGGCTAAAAGGTAAAAGTAGCTGAACTGTTGCTAAAAGCTAAAGTAGCCCAAGAAGACAAAATAAAGTACCGCAAGTACCGGTAAGCTAAAGCAAACGTTAAAGAGAACAATATTTTTGAAAGACTACTGAAATATCTCAAACTGAGTGGTTAAAGAAAACAAAAACAGGCTAAAATGAGTAAATCATGAGATAAAAGCAGCAAAACTGTACATAAATGTAGTAAAACAGATAATAAAATAAAAATGTACAGTGGCTAAAATGAGCAAATATGTTGCCAAATGTAGCAAAACAGAAGCAAAAAGTATCAAATACGTAGCTAAAAGTAGCAAAACAGTAACTAAAAGTTAAAAGGTTACATAAGAAAATAAAAACAGAGTGAGTTTTTTAAAAACAGATTTCAAATAGCAATGTTTTTAAAAGAAGTGAGGAGATCCCAACACATTTTAATGGAGAATTTAATTTAAATGAAACTAAATATTTTCAAAAACACTCCTGATATGAGTGGTTCAAATAGCTCAAAGTATGCGTGAGTCGTTTGATTACAAAAAAACGTACAGAAGAAACTATAAACAGGAATGTGCACAATAAACTTTTACCTTATGTGCGCTCTTCAGATGATCGTAATAAACTTCTTCAATTGCTTGGAAGTAAATCACTCCTTTTAGTTTGGCCTCATGTTTATCTGGAGAAGATGTGACACAAGTAGATGAATATACGATAAAAGGAATGTTCTTGTATGTTAATCAATAAAGTTGTAAGACTATGTGGGCGTGTCTTCCATCCTACCTGAGTAGTAGGAGAGTGTGCGTCGGTTGCGGTCAAAGACAAACCAGCGTTTCTTCCAGGTTTTGATCTTGCCCCCCATCTTGACCAGGTAGCCTCGGCAGGTCTTCTCAGACATGGATAAGTGGAAGCACGTGTCTGTGCTGTGGCCCGCTGACTCAATGTGAGCGCGCAAGTCGAAGTCGTCCTTCCTCACGGGCAGGTACCGAGTCAGTGGCCGTGACTGGACGGGAAATAGTGAGCAGGTCAGTGAGAGAACACATTTGTTTGAAGTAATGACAGCCATGTGCTTAGAGTTACTTTGTTCATTTTGGAATTCAAACAAATGCATTTCATACGCTGGGGAACATCAAAGAAGAGTCTTTATTCTCCAACCGGCAGTGGAAAAACAAAAGAGGACAGAAATGTGCATAAAGTTATAAATGTTATGAAGACGAGATTAAAGCTCAAGGTTGTTTTGAGGACGGGGCGAGTTAACAGATGAGGAGAGGTAGCTAGTTACAACCTAAAGCTCAAACAGAAACAACACAACCCTGTGGGAAAGAAGCGGAATCAGAATAAGCTTTATTGTCATTGCACAGTGAGATTATAATCCGTACAGTCGTCCGAAAGATGGGTGGAGTGTACATGGCTGCAGCTCCTAGGAGCGCAGCCCTTATTCTTTAGATAATAAAAGGGGAAAGACCATGAGGATAGTGGGTATCCAAAAATAGATCTCTTCACACCTTGTCCTTGTCAGGACACGGTTTAAGACATTAAAAAAAAATCTACCAGCAAGCGCATTTATAGACATTACATATGCATTTAATGACAAGATGGTGAGATTTTGTCTATGAAACACTTCCGGATAGTTCCATAGTCCTAATAAGACGTTGAAAGTTTCAGCTGTTACAGCTCTGATAAGGGCTCATAGAGCAGAGCTTTCTTGGTTTACACATCCCCAGGAGCAATATGATAAGTTGGCCTATTCAAGGCCAAACAGGGAGGCCAGATTCACATAAGCCACAGTTGTTTTTTGTGCAAGCAGACCATTTTTCTTTCATCAGCCTTGAGTTCTGCTGGTGCTCTCGATGATCCAAAATGGCCAGAATTGTGGGCTTTCCACCAGTTTGTGCTTATTAGCCGTATCCAAGATTGATTCCAACATGCTGGCAAGTTCCAGAAGCCGCAAGTGGCCTACGATTCTCATAAATCGCTTCCAGATTATGGTTGAGCTCGCAAATCAGCTGAGTCTGAGAGCTCGAAGCACAAATTAATCCATCACATAAGGTAGGCAGCTTTGCCATGGCTGAAACTGCTGCCGACGACTTCCTTAATGGCTGACATAGGTATCCACTGATGCCAAAAAACGGAAACCCTGCTATCATAAATCCAACGATGTATAAATCTTCAACATCATCCAGAGACAACACAGACAGGCACATCAGATTCCACTCCCCCCAGGAATCCATGATGTACCCAGCTGCGTGTGTCTATCCGGGGCATGAGGGCTCTCCAGGACCCTGTCGTTTGGTTGAAAAAATTTGATCAATTGTGTTGAAAGTCCAGCTGACTACATCCATAACAGTAATTTACAGTTTGGAAGATGTGCAAATAGAAGCTCTGACACACAGGACAAAGAGCAAAAGCAGAGGAGGAAGGCAGGAGAGGGAAGAAAAGGCATCCGTCTTGCTCGAATGCGAGTGAGGGAGGAAAAATAAGTGACCCCCCACTTCCCAAGTACTTCAGTGAAAATACAAATAACAATGGTCTGAGGTAATTTAGTTTTTATAAAGACTCCTGTGATTTAGATGACTGGGTACTATTGTTTAAAATATGTTTGTTGTCTATCTCAACACAAGTTTCCTTATATTTGTATATTCAGTAAGACTATGTGGGCGTGTTCAGGGTACGCCCACATAGTCTTACTGAATACATAGTCAAAGGAGCGTCCTTGGACACTCTCACCGCCCTTGTCGTCTCCCCCCCTTGCGGAATGTCTACGTCACCATGTGCTTGCATGTGCTGGATGTTTTTTTTTTTTTTTTATCATTATCAAACTCTTTCTTCTCAGCCAAGAAGAAAGAGTTTCATATATATATATATATATAGTTTTGCCTCCAAATCCTACGTGTTCACTTTCACTACTTTTTTGTCCATCTGAACAGATCTCACTTGTAAATGAGCCTTCGAGGCTCAATGTGATTTATCTGTCTAAATAAAGGTTGAATTAATGAATGAATGAATAAAAGAATTAATGAATGAATGAATAAAAGAATGAATGAATGAATATTACCTGTGCCCTTTGCTTTTCTCGCAGTTTCACTTCACGGTCTATGAGTTTTTGACGTCTGCTCGTCTCCTCCTGTAACCTCTTCTCCAGTTCCTCTCTTCTTCTCCTTTCTTCTTCCAGGGCCTGCTTTCGCATTTCCATTTCTCGCTCCTGAAAGACAATACAGGCAACACACACACATGCATAAACTTTGGGGGAAATAAAGTATTTTGGGGGTTATTGCATTCTTTGCAAGAAAAGATACCCAACCATCAGACTGGAATGCTGAATGTTACAGTGAAAATAAACAAATGATGTCATTTTGAACCTTGTGTTCCAGGAGGCGGTTCTTCTCGACTTGTGCTTCCCTCAGCAGGCGCTCCATCTCCTCTAGCCGGGCCATATTTGACGTACTGGCACTGCAGGATAAACAAAACAAAACGCATCAAAACACAAACGTTTCTCTGCTGCATATAAACCACCTGAAAACTAGACATGAGTAAAAAATAACAAAAAACATAGCATGTGACGTTTTACAGGAGGACTGAATTAAACTTTATATATTAGCAAAATAGCCATTTTCCACACACTTTTGTTGTTGATGCAGTTTCTGACTTTGCACAAATGAATTATTCTTTATTAACTAAAGCAATAAAGGCTGAGCGCTGAATAACTGCTAAAGATGAAATTGAGGTTTTAAAGCTAAACAAACACCAGCTAAAAGCTACATGAAGCAGAATACTAGCCAAAAGCTGCATGAAGAAGAACACTAGCTAAAAGCAATTTGAAGAACACTAACTAAAAGCTATATGAAGAAGAACACTAGCTAAAAGCTATTTGAAGAAGAACACTAGCTAAAAGCTACATGAA